CCTCCTCGATAGTGTTTTGCTTTTCAGGTTGTTGTCGTGACTGTTTTGACATAACTGTAAATACTTCTTCAGGCTAGTTTTAGGCTTACTTTTTTTCCCTTTTTATAAATGCAACCACAACATTAAAGTCTTGGGCTTTAATTTTTTCTGAATTGTGTGCTGTTTTCTTCTGCACTATTTTCTAGCAAAAGTTGGTAACTTGGAGATATCACGCTGTTCTTCATTGTTTCTCCTTTGCTGCCCACATCTCTGTTTTTTAGAAATAATCACTAGTGATATTTTTCATTAAATATTCACAGTAACTTATACTCTGAGCCAGTATTTTGATTTTTTTATCAGAGAAGTATAAGTAATCCCTGGAACTGTAGGTTTTATTAAGATGAATAATGATATGGTGATTAGCAACTGCATACTGAAGATATGGACTGAACAGACTGCTTCTCTCTGCTTGGGTGTCTTTCAAGTGTAATTTTTAATATAGTGTTAGGGCATGTGAAAATAAACTGTAAATGCCTCAACCATAAAGAGAACAGTAGTGCTAACCCATAAATGCATGTGAAATACATTTCTCAGGTTTTGAACACAAATGAGATATAGATGCTCAGTACAGAAGAACAACATTTCAGCTGTTTGGCAGGGCAAAGTACATTCGGTCTTCCAGAAATTTCATTGCTAATTTGCATTTGCAAATTTCGTTGCTTATGTGAGAGCATGAACCATAAAGTATTCATTCCAGCTCTTGCTGAGAATGTGTAGGCTTAGTAATTAGTGATTGAAAATAGATGAGTTTGCCATTTGACTGGGTGGGAAGGGCCATGCCCAAGCATTGCTCAGGTTCAGTGCGTACCTTTAGCCACGTTTAACTTGACTCATGTTCAAAACCATCTAGGTTTCAAGTGATTATTTTAAGTGATGGGGGTAGGGGTGTTGGGTTTTTTGGCTTTTTTTTTTTCCTTTTTTTCCTGAGAAGAGTGAGGGACACTTTCTGCTGTGGTAGGTTTTTCTCTTGCTTGCTTTCTAGTTAAATGATTGCAGTTTTTATCCTAAGAACTTGATGATTTTCCACATGGATACTTCACCGTTGTATTAGTTTTATACCACATCTCTCCAGGAATCTTCTTATGAAGAATTTTTCTGTATTTCAAAATTTATTTAAGGCACTGGGTTTAGCATTTGTTTGTAGCAAAATGAAATTGTCTTATTGATACAATAAAATTTTGGCAGTTCTAATTTTTCATGTTGTTCTTAAGCTTCCAAGTTTTGGTAAAAAGCAGCGTTGAATAGGTGCAGGGAGATGTTGCAAATGTTCTGGCTTGTTTTTATATAAATGTTCCTGTTTCTTAAAGCTAGGTGTCTTACATAACAATTGTGTAGTTGTAGTGTAAAACTGAGTCTTCAGTTCTCCTTAAAATTTAGTAAAACTACAGAGGTGAGTGTAAAAAGGTTCAATGTAAAGTATCATTCCAAGTGTCTGATGACAAAATTATATCCTCATGTTTTCAGTGTGTAACTGCTAATTTGTCTCTTTTCCAATCAGAAGTGTTAAAACAAGATAATTTTAATGCAACTGTGCATGCAAACGTTCATTAACTGATACAAGTGTAATTTCTTCTTTGAAAATAGCTGTATTATATTTGGGAATAGGTGTGTGAGGGATTAAATTTGCTTCAAGGTTGTCATTAGGTCTTCACTTCTTATTTCATTGATCTCTGGGATGTAGGTTTGTATTTGTAATTTGTGCACCTTGAACTTCAAACTTGATTTTTGAGTTCTTGAGAATCGATAATCCTGGGGATTTGCATTCATATGACAACGTGCAGAGGAAATGCTTCAATTTCTTGATATCAGGTGTAGTGATTCAGCATAGAAGTGTAGAATAAAAAAACCATAGAGCACCTTTTAACAAATATTTTGTAAGCTGAAAAGCTTGCCTCTACTAATTAAGCTGAAGTAGGCAGGAACTTTAGAAGTATTAGCTGTGTTATCTTTTCCTCTTACATCTGGATTTTGTACATGACTGGGTGCTGGATCTTACATTTCTGGAGACTAGGATAGGTTGTTGTAAGTAGCAGTATCGGAGAAGTGTATGTGACATCATAAATGTTAAAGTAGGCTTATTTATATTGAAACATGATAAAACTGCTCTTGGATCGTGGTAGAAGCTAAGTTAGGAACTTTGTCTTACTTCGTACTGGTGAACTCACAAACACTTGCACTGTTCCTTCTCATTAAAGGCAAGTAGAAACACAAATAATAAAAATTAATATAAAGCGCTTTCCATACTGGTATGTGTATATTTTATATTTTATGTATTCTGTGAAATGATATTAAAACCAAAAGCTCGCCAAAAAGTCCTCCCAAGAATGAACAAACCCAAGGGGCCAATACAGTAAACAAAACAAAACCACAACCCCTCTGTTTTCCTTTACGACCAAAAGCAAATTTTGCTCAGTTTGGATTTCCACACTTTATGCTAATCCTCTCTGCTCAGCTAGCTTTTTTTTTCTTTTTTTCTTCTTTAGTCCTGTTTTCTACATGTAGCTTCTCGAAATGTTGTGTAATGTTATAATGTTAGCAGACTTGGAGCTTGTTGGTCTGAAAAGCCCTGCAGTCTTTTGAAAAGAATTTGGTAGTCTTGTGTAGTGACCCTGAATGTCACCATCTGCATTCAGGAAGAATATGTATAAAATATGTGCACGAAAATTTCGAGATGATAAATCAAGAATCTTGTGGTAAAACAGGTAGAAAGCTACACCCAAATCTACTTTGACTTCTAAAAGTTAAAAGTAATGATAAAAGACTAGAAAATGCCGAAGTTGTGTGCCTGTACAGCTTTGAATTTAATCCCCAAGTACATATTAGGTTTTTTATTTTCTTTTTTTCTTATCTTCAAGCATGTTTGTATATCTAGCTTCCTCACAGGACACTGCCTCTGTTAGTTATTGAGGCTTGCTTTAGTGATAAATTGGAGCTATATAGGGAGGACTATTGTGTTTTCATAGTCTCTGCTTCAGTTATTGCAGAAGATGCTACCTAAGTATGCTCCCTTTAAGAATTGCACTTGAATGCTGCTCAAGTTTACCATCTTAATGGAAATTCAGATATTTACATTTCAGTTAAGACTAGTCACTGTTCCTTATTTTGTGGTGCTTAACTGTGGTCTGATTACCAGAATTGATTTTGCATCTAAACTCAGTGGAAGCTGTGTTGTAAATGTGAATTTTTATATGCTGATGTGTATCTTAGGAAAAAAATGAGATTTAGAAATTGTCATCCGAAATCAATGGGTTGTTTTGACCTCAGGATTCAGTCTGTCTTGTTTATTGTGGTTTACTTGTTTTGTACTTCAAATATGAGAGCTGCAAAGAAATGCTTAAAGAAATTAGGCAGTGTATTAAAATAAAGCTGTGTATTAAACCACAGGAGAAATGTAGTGAATTCTTGCTGAAATACCCTGAAAAGGTCGTATAATCTTTTGATGCTTTAAACTGTGGAAACACTTGTGTAAGAATGAGGACAGAATGTGCAAACCCCTGGTTTTCCTGAAAGTCCAGGAAAGGACTGAATTAGGGTTACCCTTAACTTCTGTAGTTTTGGTAATGAAATGCTTGTATCTTCAATGTTGGTGTTAATCTCTTTATGTAGCTTCTTTTGTTTCAAAGCAAGCTGTAAGTTGAAGCCTCAGATAGAGAATTCGTTTAGTAACTTGTGGTTCATGGGTTAAACTCTTTAAAGTTAAAACTCTTGTTTCAGCCTTGATTTCTTGGGCTGCAGCAGTGGGTTGCTGTTCACTTTAGACTAGCATTAGAATCTTTGCTAGTGAGTGTTGAAAGGTTCATGGCAGCAGTGTTGTAACCTGAAGTGTGCTGAAGTGCATATGGGCTGCTCTGCCTGTAGGATTCCTGCCATTGCTCTCTGTGGGCTTTTTGTGGGGGCGGGAGAGAGGGTGTTTGTTTTTTGTTTGTTTGATACAATTTTTGGTTTTCTCACTCTAGTAATAGGCTTCTTGGCCCCCAGGTTGTGACTTTCTGGTCAAGATTGGGATACTCCTCTTGCACTGACTTTATGTTAATTTTTTTTTCTCCTCTGCTTGCCTGCCAAATCCTATTTTATCTGTGGCTCATTCATTTGAGCTCTTTAGTGCTCTGCATTCAAATTGGCTAGGAGCTTCCTTGGCTCAAGAGGAAGACTTCTCACATTGTAGACACACCATGAAGCAGTCCAAACCTGAAACTGTTCAGACTGTAGAGCTTAAGGAGCACAGGTGGATTTTGGAGGATAATGCGTGGATAAATATTTTAATCCCTTAAGTACATACAAACTGTTTTTTACGATGTTGCTTTATAAGTTTGAACCAAACTTTTTGTTTGTGAAGTTGAAATAACAAAACCAAGAGTCCTTATAAAGAGGTTATTCTCTGTTTTTCTCAACCTCCTACCTCAGTAAATTATATTGTAACTGGTCTAGAAGGAGCAGTGTGCATCCCTTGATGCTTATGAGAAAAAAAAGCTGCTTTTGATTTGTCTCCTGAAAGAGTTGTGATGAGGTTAACCTCAACCCTACCTATTTGACAGAAGTTATAAAATTGAGAAGATTATGGTGAGAAGTGGTAGACAACTTTGCTAGGTTGTCCTTCAGGCTTCTTAATTATCTGTTCAACGAGATAAAGGGTGAGATCAGGTGTCTCTTCCTGCCATGTGTAAACAGAAGAGATCTGGGATGTCCAAGTTCTTTTGCAAGCTGGCTGTTTGGATTTGGGGTAAAAAAAAGTAAGATGTGTATTCAAGAACACTTCCCCAACCACCGAGATTTTTGCCAATAACTGTGTTGTGATCCTGTCTGGAGGCAGCTTGTTTGAACAGTTAGGGCATAAGCTATTTTTGTTGTTGCGAGTCAAGTTCATGAACTTGGGGAGGGTCAGAGGGAAGAAAGGAGTCTTAAGTTACTGTGTACATAACTAGGATGGGTTCTTATTTGACCTAAAGTCTGTCTTGATGCAGCAGCACAAGCCAGCGAGGAGACTGTCACATTTCGCCGTGAACGCAGCACATTTAGGCGTCAGGCAGTACGACGCCGGCACAATGCAGGGAGTAACCCTACCCCTCCTACATTGCTCATCGGATCACCCCTCAGGTAGGGTATCTAAATGTTCCACCATATTTAGCATGCATGCAGCAGACCACTTCCCCACACCCACCAGTGTTGCCAGAAAAGCACTTTTTACTTCCTTCCCCACCATAACCTCCTTGAGCTGTCACTGCATGTCACTGTGGGCTTGTTGAATTGTGCATGTATATGTGGCACTATTTAAAAAAATGGTCAGGATAGTCAGTCTCTAACATGTTATAGCTGTTTTCAGATTGATATAAAAATTAACTAATGCTAACAAACTTAGCCTCAGTGGTTTTTAGAAAAAATTTTTGGAACTTTCAGTCAACAAGAGAAACCCAAGAGAATAGTATCAGCACTCAACATTTTGGTTTTTTTCCTCAAAGAATGTAAGCATTAGGGACTAGTACTGTGATCACTTTCACATTTGTAGATTGTGAGAGATAAGCAAAATGACAGAATATTGCAAAGAGCTAAATACATACAGAGACTCCAAATTTAAAATAAAAGGTAAAAGGTAAAGCGTTATGAAGATCTTGCAACTTTTTACAGCAAAAGAGAAATAATGACGTGAATAGAGTGCCCAGTATTGCTTAGTATTAAATCCAGTTGTGTGGCACTTTACGTGCCTTGGCAGTGTTTAAAATGTAGCGTGTACATTTATCTCAGGGGTCCCCCAACCTTTACTGGCCCCTTTGTTTACAATGCTGAGCCTCGTGATTTTTTACATACAGCAACTCTGTTTGATCAGTCAGCCTGAACAGTAGAAACTGCAGCCACCATAAGTTTTTCAACTTGTGTTTTAAGTCTTTCAATTTCTTGGTTGCTTATGGTATTGGAGAATCTGGTGAGGAGGCCTGTAGAAGAAGGAACAGTCCCTTATAAGTATTGAAGTAATTCTTCCTTCAGTTACACGATAAATATGTAGGAATAATTGCATTTGTTATATATTCTTAATGATCTTCCTTTGTATGCTGAACTCTTTTTGTGTTTTGGGAATATTTATGTAGTTTTTTGAACTAGGAAGAGCTGTAGAAACTGAACAAATAAAAAGAAAATACCTTAGAATAGAGGATGGCACAGGAAGTGTGCCATCTTTGTCACACCACTAAAATATTTGAGGACTATGTTTGCAAATTTTCCTCAGGTGGGGGAGTGCAAGAATGGTACCCAGAAATATAACAGATGGATTGACTTCTGTCATATCAAGCACTGAAACTAGTTAAGTGTGGTTTTAGTGGCTAGTACAGTATGAAGTAGTAATCATTTAATTTCAGATTTTTCTTTAAGCTTTTGCTCTTGCTGAATGTAGGGTGTTCAACTTCAAGCTGGTGATTTTCTTCATAGTGAAGGACGATGGAATTTTGTATTCTTTCAGATCACTTTTGCTTTACCTGTTTGCCGTTGCTTGCCTTTGAGCTTTTGTTCTCCTTTTTTTTCTTAAAGGAGAGTAGTGCAGCTTTTTGTATTGCAGCATAAGAGGCTGTGCAGACTAAAGAAAGCACCTTAACTGTGTATTAGTTAGAAAACAGTGTTTTCTTTCTTGTAGGTATAAAGTAAGGAAAATAAAGGACTGTTTTAAACAGTGGTTGACAGCTACCTCATTTCCACATGCTACTGCAGTCATTAAGGTTCCCATGGCTTAAGCTTGACTGTGAGAGACTATGAAGTAACTTTGTGAACTTTATGAATCATGAATTTCACTTTGTGAAGTGGGAGTAACTCTTTAATCAGACAAGACATTCAAAGATAAAAAAGGAGATTAAATATTCTAGCCTTGTATTACCTCTAAGCATCTTTATCTAAATTTGTTCTATTCTAAATTAAAAAAAACAAAAAACCCAAAATCGCTCACTGAACATTCTCTAACATCATGACATACATTGTCAAAAATACTTTATAATATAAACACATTTAGAATTGAATACTTAGTGAGGTTAATTTACTCTAATTACTTTTTGTGGTGCTAAATGACTGTCCCTTGCAGTAGAATTAAATTGCCATAGTCCAACTCAATACCCAAGTGCTTTCATATTTGTTTGACACACATTCAATTTGAGCTATCAACTGTGGAATGTATCTGAAAAAAACGTGTTTCAGTGTTCCAATTTCTGGGTGAACAGTCTATAAAACCCCCTTTCCTTTACATGACTAGCTTAATTTTAGTGTAAATTCTGTGTTACTTGGAGTAGGAAACCCTTAAGAAAGATTTAAAAGAAATCATGCTTAAGGAGCAAATGTGAAGTAATATAGAGACATTTTTAGCCAGTTACCACTAAGGAGTTATCAAAACTTCGCTGCAGTTATACTGACATCACTCCTGTATGCTGTTGGTGAGCTGCCCCCATCTAATTTGTGATATTGCTAATCCATGACTTCAGATATTCAACTTCTAAGAGTATTAGCTTTACTAATCTTTAGTTGCCCCGATGTTTTGTGTTTCTTATTCTTGCCAGCCAAACTTTAATCTCTAAACTTCTAACTCTGCCATAAAATTGGATGTTGGGGGGAATATTCCCGAGGACCTGTTGAGTTAAACCTGATTTCTTTTTAAAATTTCCTATCCCATGACTGCAATTACTTTTCACTTCCTCTGTGAAATATTTAGTAAAACAGACAATGGTGTTGTATACGTGTGTCTTTGGCAATGGTAGACAGGTCAAACCTGGTCTAGTAAATTCTGCTGGTTTGACACTAAATTAGGCACAAGATTACTGTGTAATAATACAATGGCCTGGTTATGTAAAAAAACAAACCCCAAATGCATTGTAAAACACCATCCACCCCTGCTTTTGTCCTGTCTAAATGTCAGTAATGTTTTGGGCACTTTAAAAATAAGTCTTCATTGGCATCCCATGCAGTCAATGGTGTATGCATGTGTGTAAGTGACTGTATGAAGCAGAATTTTATTCTTATAATACTCAGACAGAGAATAAACATGAGTTTTGCATATCTGTGCAATTGGTTAACATGGATATTTTGGTGGGATTTTTTTAGTTGTGACAGATGTGGATAACTATTCAAAGGGCAGCTGTGTATATACCTCTTGAGGATGTACCTGCTATTTATGGGAAAGCAGTGTTGTTTAGCATTGGTTTGGTGTTGCTTAGGTAAGGCAGTGAAGGTTGGCACATCTGTGAACTTCCCTAGGGCTTCCTAGGGTTGCTGCATAGCTCACAGAAAGCCTTGTGTACTACAGCTAAACATTGAGTTTAAATTTCAGATTAAAATGTTAGAACACGGTAAATAATGAGTTGCAGTTCTTTTCTTCTGAGCTGTGTGCATGTCTGCATTATTTTGCATGAGCTTTTCTTAACACCTGTTCTTATATCCATATTTTGTTTTCCAGTGATGCTCTAACAAAAGAACTGAAAAGTAGATGGTGTAGAAAATACTGTTAAAAGCAAGTACATCAGATATAACCCTTCAGCTCTTAGTAAGATCTTGTTTTTTTAGTTGCTTCATTTGCCAACTCTAGCATCATGCTATAAACAGTGAAGTGTTAAAAGCAACACGTGATACATATTGTTTTTCAAAAGAGAGTGTTCAAGCTATTTTCCAGTCTTTAAAATACAAAATTTTTTATCAAAGATAATGCCTCAGATAATGACAGTAAAATGTGACTTCTTTAAATTCATAAAATGAAGGATAATACCATCTTTGCAAGAGCAGTGGTTTTATGATATCAACTGTAAACATCATGTGCTCTGACACTTTGTCATACCTAATATTAAACAAGCTATTTAAAAAATCAATCTTTGGTAAATAGTCTTATAAAGTAATTTTGCAATGGAAGTCTGTGAAGAGGAGAATTAACATTTTCAGACGTTGTCTGCTCATGGCTACAAATGTCTCTGAAAGCCAGGTTGACTTTTAAAACCTATGTTTTGGTGAGTAATAAAGCTTTTGCTATAACTTTAAAATACCTTCAGAAACACCTTAACTTTTGCCAATTAATAACTTTTTATGGAGAGTCTTAATAAGTTCAAAATAATTCTGAATCCAAACATAGGACTTAAGTTATCTACAAGGTCTGTGATATCATATGTCTATTAACAAAGCTTAAAGATGTTTTCTAGTTAATGTGGATTAATGATAAGAAAGGTGATGTCCCTGTGACTAACAAAAAAGCCCTAAACAGCTGATCAGGTCATAGTTGAATAAGTAAAAAGGACCCCAACTACTGTGAGAAGGCTGGAATAGTCAGTAGTAAATATAAATACCTCAGGTTAGTCTGTAGTTAAACTAACCGGCAATAATTTGCTTTTGCACTCACAAATTAAGACTCGGAAGAATATACCTGTTGGGTGACTTGGGGAGATCTTAGAAAGCAATAGTACTTCTAAGAAGTTGATGGGAACAGTATCTCTAGATTCCTGATGTAACTAGGGCCTAAATACTCTGTTACACAGAACTTAGGGGTTACTTTAACCCTGTTGGCTGCTTAATGATACTATACTCGTTTTTTTAAAAAAAAGTTTTTCTCTTTAAACTGAAAAATCTTGTTTTGCTTCACTTCTGGCTCTTTTTCACTTCTCCCTGGTAATGTGTCCCCAATGCGTGTTTTCTCGTAGCCTTCAAGATGGTCAGCAAGGCCAGCAGTGCTCCTCCCAGGTCAGAGTGCAGTCCCGCCCCCCTTCCCAGGCAGCTGTGCCCGGCGCTAGCGCCTCCTTGCTGGTGAGAAATGGGAGTGTCCACTTAGAAGCATCACATGCCACTGCATCTGCTGTAGGCGGTAGCAGTTTGCACGATGAACTTGGTATGCAGGCCTTATGTAACCTTGGTGACATGGAAGTTTTAATACGGCAGATTTATTGGTAATAATGCAGTGAAAATCACCTAACCTGAGCTTTGTTTCTCAATCTTGTAGGTGTGTTTCTAGGAAGGCCATATTGCTCATCAGTTCATTGCCTTTGTCAATCACCTTTGCAGGCGCTTTCTCTAACAAATGCATGATGGGAAATAAGGAGGCATAGATTATGAGTAGTGCTGGTGTGAGAGCTTTCTTGATTTGAACGATGTAACACAAGTAAAAAATCTTTCCCGTGGTCTTGCAGGCCGTTGAGCAGAGATGGAGACTTTGGGGATCTTCTGGTTACTGAAAAAACCAACTTGTTATGGCTCCTAGGAATTCTTCTTCTTACTTTTTTTAGATGAGTTATTTAGCTGCTGTTCAAGAAAGAAATACTTATGTAAATTAATGCTTTGCTTTTAATGTACACCTTAATTTAGGAGCTTGATATTGGAAGTAAATCTGGACTCTCTGGTATATCAAATGTCATCATTTTATGGTGCTTTATAGTGCCCTCTTAGTTCTTCATGGTCCATTTTATGTGGTATTTTTGATTATTAACTTCTTAATTAACTTCTATGCAACTAATAAAGTTGCCAGGAAGAAGTTAATATGGTCGTAATAAATGACTGATCTGCCGCATAGTACAGGGGCAGATTTGGAAAAATTCCTGGCAGGGATCTTTGCAGCTATCTATACATGGCCTGAATTACTTATGACTTCATCATTAATATGTAACTCTTCCTTGAATTATTAAAATGGGCGTCTTGAGCACTGACAATTATTAGTGATGGAATTTTGAGCAGCTGTCAGCTGTAATAACCTAAAAGTACAGGTTTGATCAGAACACTGACAAAACATTTGTTTCAGACTTTTCTGTAGTCCAGTATTAGAGGATTAGTGAGTTGTCATCTTACCTCACTAGAGGGGAAGACTCCATGAGTTGCTAGTCTGTGGTAACCCTTTAAATGTGAGTTTGACTGAGTCTTCATTCTTCTGCATCATCTAGCTGCAGTATAAGGAAAAATGGAATATAAACAAAACTGAAAACCACTTTGACCTACTCTGAGATGTTTTATAAAACTTAGCTACAGATGTAATAAATACACATGATCTAGTTATCTAAAAACTTTTGTTGTAGATTCTGCTTTACTGTTTTCTAGATTGAAACAATAACACTTCTATCTCAGTGCTTGTATGTGTCTCTTGACTATGAAAGCCTGTCACATGAAACCCATTTTCTGTATTTAATTTGGACTCTTATTTCTTATTTGGAAAAAAATTTGAAATATAACTCTGAAATTGTTATACTGGTTATATCTGTCCAAGTTTAATGTTGAAATATATTCTTGAGGCCGTCATTATTTATTTGAAGGATTTGATTCATCTTACCCAAAATAATGCAGTAGAGTTCTGTAGAATTTTTCATTTAGTGTGCAGTCTAGATCTGTGTTATTTAAGAGCTTATATTATTTGCTCTAGCAGAAATCAAAGTAAATCATATTTAAAATTCAACATGGCATTCAGGCTCTCTAAAAAGGCTTATTCACTGTATTTTTTGTGCATTGGAGTCTTCAGAAATTCATGTGACTTAATTCTTCTGAAACTTTACCCATACTGTGCTTACAATTATATGGGACATCCCGTTGTCTTTAGGAGGATCTGCTAGATAGGAATCTGATGTGTAATAGAGATTTATTTCCTGTTTTGAGACTGAGCATCTAGTTTAGAATCCTTTGAGAAAAAGGAGCTATTATAGGCTGGAATTTTCTTGTGTTATTTTAGGAAAATAAAATTTTCCAGTTTGTTTAGCAGGCTTTGTGAAATAAGTGCTATCTTTTGTTAAGAGTAAAGTAGTTGGGAAAATGGTGCAAGGTTTCATGTGTGTGATTCCTTTATCAGGCTTGACAAGAAAATAGCTTTCCTTATAAGTGGTACATGGTTAGTTTGTTTGAAGGTTTTTTTTGTTGGGTTTGGGGTTTTTTTGAAACCCTCAGTCAGGGATAAAGTAACACTATTTTTCTTTTTCCATTGCGTCTAAGCTCTTGGTTTTGCTATATTATCCCAGGATATCTTAGAGTGAAGGATGACCCTGTTACTTTAGATTGTCTGTGCTTTGGGTTGGGAGAAAGTTGTAGTTTGGTTTTTTTCCTTGATCAGCATCAGAATAAAAATTAAAGCAATGAAGCAGATATGACCAGTTCTTTGTCGCTGTGGAAATCATTGCAACTGCCCAGGGCAAAAAAACCATCCTGAAAATAGTGGGAAATATATGGAAACAAAACCTGGTTTACACCAATTGGAAATATCAGTGACAAGCATAGATGGGGTTATATATCTTTTATGTACAGTGCACATGAGAGTTTCTTTTCTTAATTCAAATTCTCTTGGAAAGGCAAACAGGGCATGTATTCATTTACTTTAAAAGCCCTCACATATAGGACTCATGTTTTCCTTTACTAGTGCCCTATCTGCTTCTACATTTCTTCTATTTGTGTTGATGTCAATCTGCAGCACTTAACAGGGCATACAATTTTGTTTTTGTTTGCTTTAAAGTTTCTTGTCTGTTAATTTGATTCCAGTGGCTTATTTTACCTAGGATGAGCCTCTCTGTATTACACCTGTCCCACACCTGCTCTGGTGATGATACAGTTTTCTTTAACTGGGGTTTGAGGCATTGGACCTGAAAGACTGAAGATAAAGTAGGAAGATTTTTATAAGTTATACTGTTGGAAGGTTGAGGAAGGAGGAATTTAAGCAGTAAATATGAAGGAAATCATAGAAGGAATGTAGAATGGAAATGAAAGATGGCAAAGTAAACACCATGATTATAGGCAGGATTTGTACAATACAAATCTCAAAAGCAGCAAAACATGTGCCGTGACTTAAGTGAATGACAGTTTTCAGAGCAGTGTGGCAGTACTGATGCTTTTTATTCTCACTAATACCTGATTCTTTAGACAGGTAGGTGGGATTTTTCAGCCCCTGCAGTGAAGATTGGTTAAATTCAAATTAGAATTTGTCAAGTAGTTAGGAATCCAAGTACTGAGTTAGTAGAACAGATGCCCAGTGTCTGAAGCTGGGGTGAAATAACAGACTCTTTTCCTTAGCTAGATTTTTTTTTTTTTTTTTTTTAATTGCTTTTGTGCTTAAAGAGAACTGCTCATGTATAGCTTACATGAAAATTACGGTGCTGTGTTGGACTTCTGGTTGTATTGTTTATATAGCAAGCAACAATCTTTCAGATTTAAGTAACTTATGAAGGCAGTTGAATGGTTTTGAATATCAAAACTTATACAAAGATAGAGGTATACACTGGTTACTTATTTGATTGAAACCAGTTTAGAAGCAGTTACCCAGTACCGTTTGATAATTAAATAGTTGTAATTAATTTCAACTGGATGTCTGAGCATGTTCAAAAGTCCATTTGTAGAAAACAAATACTCACTTCTCATTATTCCTATGGAAAATATCCATGTTGTAATCTGAAATTTGTTATAATAGGCAAGTTACTCTTTTGACAAACTTCATATAGGAACAAAAAATGAACCACTTTGAAGTGTTCTAACTGCAAACATATGCGTCTTCATAGCATAGCTAATGGTAAAATTTTGATCTTTGGAAATAGAGCTCCTAGCATCTACCAAGTAGGCAAATTCTGATGACTGTGGTTTTGCTAACTAGGATTTAAAAAATACTGACTGAAGCAGTAGACAAATATGTCTTGATCTAATGATGATGTAATTTTAACATGTCAGTAAACCTTTGCATGTGAACTAGTCTGAGAGGTTTGAAAAAAAAGTGGTATTTATTAGGTGTAAAACTGGGAAGCAAATGGAAGATAACTTAGCTGAGGAAACCATCAGAGCACCATTTTAGTTAGATCCTGAGCCACTTAAGTCTTCTGGGTTTTGTTTGTGTAAGCTCATCAGCTTATTGCTGTTGCCTGTTGATGCTCTTAACTGTGGGAATATGTGTTTGTACTGTGAACTGTTACATGCTTGTCTCTGGATGTGGTGATGAGATATTTTGGTCTTTTGGAGCAAGGAAGCTGGCTTCAAAGAACACACGGTTGTCTTCTCTCTGTGTCAGAATGAATGTGTATTTTGGATTTGTGTGCTTGAGTATTACAGTGTCTTGGTTTGTTATTGTAACCTAGTCCAAATAGAATATTTTTTGGGTGACTTTAATTTGCTAAGGACTTAGAGGTCTCCTTTTTTTTGTGTGTGTGTCTGTATGCAAAGAAGTTGCAGACATTTCTGTTGAGTGGGCAAACGTGCCATTGATCATATTTCTTGATTTGCAACATAATCCTCGGAGTCTCCCATTTGTTCACAACTCGATAAAACTACAGGTTTTAGAGAGAGAAAATACATTGTTAAATTTATTCAATTTGATGCTGTTCCAGGTATCCCACAGAGAATGCTGTGGGAGACAGGAATGGGAGAGAGTCACTATAGGAGATAAAATGCTAGGTATATCCATATATATTGACTCTTTGAGTATTGAAATTCTTTGTTAGAATTTGTGTACTGTGAGGAAGCTGTTCCTGTCTCACAGTTTTAAAATTATTAAGGATTTTGGAGCTCAGTCATATTATTTCCACTCACACTTCGGAGTTTGTGTCACCAACAGCAATGAACAGTCCTGTCAAGTTTTCTACTAAGATAAGTTGAAGGTTTTTTTGAAAAATCTTTTTATTTAAGCCAACCAACCAAAAAACCCCAACAGAACAACAACAACAAAACCAAACCAAATCAGAAACAGCAAAAGAAAAACAAAACAAGGGGGCAGAATTGTTTTAATGAGAAGCTGTGCTTTGCTTGCCAGGGAACTAAGTTTCAATAGGAAGCCTATTTACATAGGTGGGTGAATTGCAAGCATGACATATCCTGAGTCCGTTTTGTAGTTTGTGTATAAACAATGGGAATTAAGTGTTCTGTTTGTTTGCTTCCTCTATTAATCAGGTTTGTTATATCCCACTGCAGCAGTGTAGTACTTACAGCAGCAATATAAATGCAGTAAATTTTGATAGATTCAAAGATAAGTTGAGTGACAGGGAGCTGTAGATATGAGACAGTGTAATAGTTCAGTAAACTTCTGAAATAAATACCTGATGTACCTGATGTGTTTTCTCAGCCCAAGGGAAGGGCAAGTTATATGTCCAAGTAGTATACTCTAACTTCTGTGACTAGAATTTAATGAAATTAAAAATTTAAAAGTTTAATTTCCAGGATCTCTATTCAGTAATGCAAAGCCATAAAGAATTTTAAAGAATTTAACCCAAACTTTGTTGGTTTTTGTTTTTGTTTTTTTTTGGTTGCCCAAGAGTTTTTTCCATAATAATTTAAGGACATTTTTGTCCTAAATAGAACCTGAAGTGTATTTATATTCTCCACGTTTGCTCTTGAAACTTTTTTATTGATTCACTTAAGAAATAAACCTTTGCAACCAAAGGTTTTTATTAGTTGTGGGAAGATTGCCCATGTTATCTAGTAGTTTAAATTTTAAGCTTCAGTATCAAGTGTGTACTACACACTGCATTGAAAAAACAAAAGATAATCCATGAAAGCACTTCATTAAAATCTTACCCATTGAGGAAAAAGCCCTGACAAGTGAGCTTTGTTCTTAGGCCTGTGGCAGATGTAGTTGAATATCGAGAGGGAGCTGCTGCATTTCCGAGCTCTGGCGAGCGCTGTTTGTGCCTCCTGAGCTATGTAGGGGACTGTCTTGTCACCATGGTGGCTCTGAGCACAGCTGTGATATTGGCCTGGTTTGCCTGAAGTGCTCCCTCTGAGGGTAGAAAGCTTTATGAAGATATTTTCAATATGCCAGTATTTTTTTCTTCAATTAAGCATCTAGTTTGAGGGATTTAACCTAAGATTGAAATGCTTCTGAATCAAACTTAGTTGTCTGAGTCTGAAGAGAAGCTGGAGAAGGATTATATTGTGTTAAAAGAAATACTCAAAATTCATGGCATTAGAAGCAGGTTATTCTCACAAGAATGGAAAAGATTGGAAGCTCTGATCTTGTTAAATATTTCTGTGGGGACTGCTTGTTATCTTCTATCAGCAGAAGGAAAAGCTGCAACACGTGCAGGAGAGATGTATACAGTTTTTCTTCTTATGCTCTAAAGCGGGAATTTTTTTCCTTTTTATATAAGCTGATCTTGGAATATTGCATGTTTTGCATCATGACTTAAGAAGGGTTTTAAGCTAGAAGAGATGGAAAAGTTGGCAGATCAGTTTCAAAATCAGGTTCCCTACATTCAGAGCTGAAATATATTGAACCAATATACTGAATATCTTGGACATCAGGGAAAATTACAATGCTTATCTTTCTGATCAGGCCAATATTGGGAGAAGGGTACTGTGAAAACATATTTGAGTAAGGTAATTTATCATTTAAGTTATAATCGTGGTATACTTTTTTTAAGTTATCTATTTTGGAAGTAAGTCCAAATGGTTTATGGAAGAAGTTAGTTTGCAGTCCTGCATTCTTACACTGAAGCATTTGTTTTCAGCTTGTAAAATAAATCTCTGCCTCACATTCCTTTTTTGAGTTTCCTGAGTTAACTTATGAAGCACCTCTGACCACTTCCTTCAGTTTTTGTGTTTCTTTTCAAATAGACATGGGCTTCTCAAAAGAGTTTTATTCAGGATACTTGGGTTATCTTTTTTGTAGCTAAATGTTCTTAAATGCTGATAGTGAATGATTGACTAATGGTTCTGTTGTGGGTGGGCAAGAACTGAAGAAGCTGGTCACTGCTAATTTTTCATGTGGTTATTCTCTAAGGGGAAAAACCAGGTGTACATTGTCCTTCTGTTGTGTTAATGGTGGTATCTTGTAAATACAAACCCTTTAATTCATTACTGCAGTTACAGTATATATGTTACACAAAATGGTACAAAAGACAACTATGTAGCTAATGTCAGCACTGGTGACATATTCATGTGTAATCACATTTTCTGTTTTGACACTGATGTAAATTCAGATGTCTGAATTGATCTCTGTAGTAAGTTAATGAATAGAAGCTGCTGCCAGTGGGATGAAACATGAGGAAATTTTGACCTGCTTTTGACCTTTTCTTTAATAGGTAAGTTCAGTTCTACGCTCTACGAGACAGGGGGCTGCGACATGTCACTTGTGAACTTTGAGCCAGCTGCAAGAAGAGCATCCAACATCTGGTGTGTGTGAAGGCCAGTCAAGAGTGATGGTTCTTGTCTTACTGCAACCCAATATTTTATTTTAATTTTAAAAGGTTATTTAGTATGGACTATGAAAAGAATCAATACAATATATTAACCATATACTTTAACTTTTGTGACTGTGTGGGTTACACCTGGGGGAGGCAGAGTGTGACCTAAGTGATTTTTTTACTAAAAGATGACATTAATTTAAATATTATCTCAGAAAATGAAGACTATTATTGGCTTAAGCAATACACTTCCAAACTGAGAACTTGACAAATACATTTTTTGTTGGCTTATATAAGGTCTTTGTTAAGGAATTGGACCAATTTTTGAGAAAGTAGATGGCTGTTGACCATAAATGGCTATTGAACTTTCAGTTGTGAAGCCACTGTAAACTGATAAATTTATTCTCAAGTTCATAGATGGCATCAAAGAGTATATGGAAGTGTTAATATGCCTGAGATTAAAATTTGACTTGCAGCTGAAATAGCCAGCTACATACTGGACAGTTCATCTGCTGTTGGAAAGATGCCCTTTCTTTCACTGAAGGGATAGGAGGCAGAAGAAGGAAAAGCAGCCCAAAACCTCCTGTGGCTTCCCACCTGGCCCCAATCTACTTCACTGTAGAATTGCTCTGAAGCTATTGTGCTATGCTCAATGCTGTAATTCTACCACATGTAGGTGGAATAGCTCTTGGAATTATGGAGTAATGAATATAAAACATCCCATCTTCAGATCTTTCTTGTGAGAGTATGCAAGTGCCTTTTGTAGAATTGAACTTTGACAGAAAGTTCTGCATTCCTTCCACAAAGCTGCCAATCCCTGCCTCTACTGCTTGCATGTTCCAGATGCAATGGCTTTGCTGATGGCTGCTGTTATGAAGTTGTATGTGCTAATGGAAGGAGCAAACTGGCCACTTCAGATAATCAGATCTCGGCTGTAGAGAATACTTGAGTTTCAGTGAAGTAAAATTGATAACAAAGAATGTTTTTATCTTAAGGCAAGGAACTGAAGGAAAGTTGCATAAATTTGATACAAGTCTTACAACCATGTGATTTACATGGAAAACAAACATCCAAAAGCTATCCAAAATTGGGGGAAAAAAAGCAGTGGTTGGATATGGACTCTCATACAGTAAGAGAAATTTCTCTTCATCTCTAATGAATGGAAATTGCAAAGTAATCTTGCTCTTCTTACCAGAGGTTTAACTTGATTTAAAGTTAAGTTTTTTGAAATCAGTTTAAGTAGCTCACCTTACTTATACTGAGTATATACTATTTTTGGCAGGTTTGGGATCTTGATAAAAGCAGTATAGAATTAAGAGGAACTGCATGTGGGCACCTAATGGCTTGTGCACTTCTTTAGAGATGTGATTTATGTTTGCAAATCAGTAGCGAACAGCTTATAAAATATTTTCGGTTTTTTTTCAAGTGGAATAATGACTGTCATTGTAGGTCTTTTTAGACAATTGAGGGACTGGGTGTTGAGAAACTGTGTTATTAAGGGTAAGATTAAAGCATCTCCTGGCATACTATAGCTGTGGAATGTACCGTAATACAGGAGACTAAATGGCTACTTGCATTTATAATAAGTGAATGAAGGAAAAATTTAAAGATATTTAGATAAAATTCACAAGGTATCAAAATTAATTTGGGACACGTGAAAATTAGAGTGATCTGTTGAAATAAAATGTAGTTTATAATCTGAAGTATTTTCCCTGTTCTTATAGTGACACGGACTCTCATGTATCGAGTTCTACCTCAGTTCGCTTTTATCCACATGATCTAGTAAGTTTTTCTTACTTATTCTTAAAGCATGCAAAGAATCAGAAGACTATCTCACTTTATAGCACTGATTAATCATTCTGTGTGGTAGTTCTCTGTTCTTATGAAAGAATTTTGTCTGGATGAATGAAGAGAGTATTTAGTATGGTAGTGTCTTCATATATACATACAAATTAATCTTTTTGCCTAACACCTTAAAACTTGGTTGGTTTCCTCTGATCTAAAACTTAGTGACTTAAAAACACTCATAGAAATTGGATGTTCTAAGATACCTTGTAAAAGTTTCCAGAGAAAATGTGTACAATTGGGACAGTTTTCCTTCTGTGCATTATTGAGGTTAGCAGGCAGCAGAAAGATGAAATCCTGTGTTCTGACCAAAAGAAACTTCACTTGAGTAATTTCCCTGAAAGGAATTTAGAAATCTGTCATTGGAGTCTGCTGTACAAAATTTAAATTTACATGGAAGGAGTGACTAGGAAAACAAGGCACTGTTTCATACTGCAAGTAGCTTCATAGTTGCTTAGTTTTATGATCTCAAAGCTTTTGTATTATTGTCAAGTTCAGACATACCTGTACTCTTAATTCTGAAGTTATATATAATGTTATGAAAACAGTGCAAATGGTCAAGATTCTTAGGCTGGCAAACCAAAGAAAAGTATGTTGAAGTACCTGATGACCTAATCAAGAGGGAAAATGAAATGTAGCTTTAGGATTTGGCAGAGGAGCAAGAGACATCCATTTGCCTCACCATGCTTTTTGACCATGCCTGATGAAGAATGTGCTTTTTAAATTTAGTGTCTGCTAGAGGAATTTGCTTTGCTTTCCACAGTCCCCTTTGAACATAGAGCCTTTATAAAAGAGGCTGCATCACCTCCTCTCTGCTTTTGGTTTGCCAGTGTAGTCCTGTTGGAGGGAATGATTCTGTTTTAAGGCAAATTTGTGACTGTAAGAGCTCAGCCCACGTGCCTAAATGGAAGTTTGCACTGAAATTTATTGTTAGTGCTGATATGCTGATTCTACCTTTTAAGAAACTAAGATTTTTAAAAACTGTCAAAAAAGGACCTGTTTTCTGACACAGTTTACCTTAAATAGCATGGTTTTTGTTTTTGAAATGCTTTTAGAAATGGAGTATTCCTGCTTTTTTTATAAGTATTTTTCTAGGAAGGCAAAGCTGGCTAAGCCAAGTTAAGTACACCGATGATTTAAGAATGATGAAAAAAATTTTATAAATCAAGAAATGGAATGTTAAACTTAGATGATTGTAGGAAAAAAGCATCTCCAAACACTAAACCTCTAGTTTTGGCGCTTGAGTGGCATGAGTATTGAAACTTTGACTCTTTGCCTTACACATTTGTGAAGCTTTTTCATTAAGGGACATTTTAACAATTATATTGCCTAAGAATAAAGGGCAGTTCATCAAGATGCTTCTTGGCCTGTTGATGAAATTTAGAAACTGGATTAGATGATACATATGTACTATAGTATCTTATTAACATCGAGTACTCTTCTTAAGTATCTTTCATGGTTGTTAGTATTACTGTGATTTTCATGAGAACTCTAAACAAACTATAAAATAAGTAATAGTTGTAAATAGTATTTGACTGTTTAGGGCAGAGCTTTTTCTTTGGTTCCTTTCTGAGTGTATTTTGGATTCAGTGGGTTTGCGTTTGACCGCTGGTGTATTACTCTGTTGCTTTGTCATGCAAAAAGACCTATTCAGCATGGGTTTGCATGCAGATTAGCTGACTATAAGAAATGTGTCATAATTTATTGAAATTAATAATTGGATTATTCTTGTAGTGTATATTGTCCCTGTATCAGTTTACATGTCTTCAAATTTGAAGTTTTCAGAGTAAATGGGATAATGTGCTTGGAAGACATATTCATTTGAAATAAGGCATATGCTGCAATGCCACAGAGCTGTGTTGTGTGCAGACTGTTATTGCTGCTAGTCCTATTCATGTGCCATGATAAGGACAGGAAAAGTAAGTAAAGCCTGTGACAGTGCTTAGCATGTAATTCCACAGAAGTGAAACTAAAGAGTTCCAGTGATATTCTTCGAAGCAATTTTCAGTATAATACAGCGATTCGATATAAATGAGCTTTTGTTAATACTAACTTTCTTTTAGCTTTCTCTTCCTCAGATCAGGTTGAACAGGCTGCTAACAATGGATACAGATCTGCTGGAGCAGCAAGATATTGACCTGAGCCCTGACCTTCAGGACCACATGCAACCTCAAGAGGAAGCAGCTCAAAAAGTCAAGCAGTACTATCGCTTTTGGATCCTACCTAAACTTTGGATTAGCATCAATTTTGATAGATTAACTCTTCTGGCTTTATTTGATAGGTGAGATCCTTTTGTGTTAACAGACCTCAGAAACAAAATGACAACAGTTATTAAACTGTAATATAGATAAAATTATCCTGAGAGCATTGTATTTATTTACCTATTTGCTCTGAAAAATGAAAGAATAATACTGAATGTAGTTTTTCTGAAATAGTGGAGGCTACTCTCCTTTTTTCTCTAGCAATCAAATAAAGAAAAAGGAAACCAACCCTTAATTTGCCTGAGTGGGGACAGTAACATATTTGAATGATTAAATAGAAGGATTTGTTGCCAATCTTTAAAGCTAGAGTGTAGCCTTCTCCAAAATTAATTGAAAGTGTCTACAACCTGGCATGTACCTCGTGTTTTGGTAAATAGAGAGAACTTGCCTGCTGTTTCAAAGCATGTTTTCGAAGATGTGTTTAATACTGTGACTTCTTGTCCCTGCTACATTTACCTAGAGGAAGAAAATTAAGGTGATCCTCGAGTTACCAGCTTTTGGAATATGTAAAGTATTTATATTTTGGTAATGAACCTCCACGAGATAAACAAGATAGTAGTGATTCTGTCCAGGGAGGAATACTCATAATTCTTTCCTGAAGCACTGACAATATCATAGGGAATTATCTGTATTCCACTTGGCATATCTTACTTAAGCTAGAGTATTTTTAGTTTCTTCATTAGAAAATCATGAATGAGAGATTATATACACAGGTAAGTTACCATGTATGTGTTTTTAATAGGTTTACAATCGTCATGGATGGACTTTGAATATAGATTTGTTACAGACTGTGCTTCTGGTGGAATATTTGAATTATTTCTAAAATTATCTGCTGAAGTTTTCTTCTACTGTTTAAAGTAAAATTCTATAAGATACTAACTGCTTTCAGCTGTCATTGAAATCCTGATAACTCCTAGCTTTGCTAAAGGACAGTGTGCTAATAGACTGTGGAAGTTCAAGTCTATTCTTAACTGCTTTGCTACCAGTAGCATAACCCTTGTTAATTTTTGACCCTAACTGTTCTTTTGCAGTTTTTTCTTGACATAGTTAACTTTAAATTCCCTTTTTTTCCTTTTATTCTCTCCTTTTAAAACAGGAATCGTGAGATCCTTGAGAACGTATTAGCTGTCATCCTAGCTATTCTAGTTGCATTTCTGGGCTCTGTACTTCTCATAGAGGGCTTTTTCAAGGATATTTGGGTCTTCCAGTTCTGCCTGGTAATAGCCAGTTGCCAGTACTCACTGTTGAAGGTATTTTAATTTCTCTTTACTTTCTACAAACAGTGGATATAAATCCACTTGGGTGTTGCAGGGTAGTTGGAGCTTTAAGGAAAAATGTGCATGCTTATCACTTACAAAGGAATAAGTAAACTTGGCCTCATGGAAAGTTTGCTAGATGGCAATGCAAGGTCATTTCTCTAGAATGGTTTTGCATATGCTTGTTAAACAATCTTTTATTTACTGTTCTAATGCATTTTTTCTTTTCATAAAGAGGAGCACATTCTTTTATGAGGCAATTATATCTGAACATATTTTTAATCGGATAATTAATTTTTGTTAGACTGTTAATGATTTAATGTAATCTAAGAATGGGGGATTATTTTTTATGGTTTGGCTATTAGGATGGAAGTTAAAGTTCCAAATGCTGTCAAAAAACAGTAGAAGTCCTGAAAATAAGGGGGTTGGGGATTTTTTAGAATTTTGATTATAGACATACTCTAAAAATAGATTTCATGGTTTATTACATTGTGCTATTTAAAGGCTATAATGTGGCTTGACAACTGTTAAATTGATTGTAGGTATTGTTAAAGAAACTTCAACTAAGAAGGTTTGTGTAGGGAGATAAACACACTTAGCTGTAGGTTCAATAACTTTCCTCTTTTTATTTTGGTTTCAGAGCGTTCAGCCAGATTCTTCTTCCCCTCGACATGTAAGTCATGGGCATGTGCCACTGTACTAACCCTGCAGATGCAGAACTCACGCAGAGAATTGGTCTTTTTAGTTTGAGTTTTCTGGTATTTCTCTTATGTTCCTTCTTATAAGGCATAAAGGGCTTATAATTGTTTTAGTGTGTCAGAAGGGAACTGATACTGTTTTTCCCCACTGTACTTTTTGTGTTTAGCAAATCTTATCCTCCTGTTCTGAGCCTAGTTTTTGGTAGGGAGCCATGTCATGATAAGCTTTTTGATGAATCTTTATTATTCTAGCATTTATACTGGGAATTATTCTTCATGTTGTAATTTGCTCTGCTGGTATGAACTGACACAGCTTTGATGTTCTGTTTCAGTGTTGTAGATTATTCAGTTGTCCTAGTATGCACACTGCTTTATTTTTTCACTCTAAAAAGCTGAGTTTGCAGTGTTCTAGTGAGCATTAATGTTTGAGCATGGAAATGTTCATGTTCTAGTATGTTTATGTTCTGTTGTGCATCTACTAGATTGCCAAGACGAAATATTACTTTTATGTCCTAGATAAGATATATGAAAGCATTATTGCTCTGTAGCAAGTCATTAATTTTGTGTAAGAAGCTGTGATTTGATAAACACAGAGATTCTGTTGCCCCATCCAGCAGAAGCAGTATCTGAGCTTTAATCTCTTTTTCCTTAAAATTGGTTTATTCTCAGTTGCTTACAAAGCCTAGTCAGAACTTCCCTAGCATTTAGTATTGCAAGCAACATAGCATAAAATATAGCTGAGACCAAGGGTATATTTAGCTTAGTCTAACTTAATCTAACTATTGTGTCTTTCTAATATCAAAGCCACAAAAAGCACAGGCTGGTATCACTGCAAGACAATGCAATTCAGGATTTTATGAAGAAAACTTTAGGATATGATGAGGTGACAGTGTATTGGTTGATGTCCAGTGATCAGTTTTGGTTCTGAATCTATCTGTAGGAGAAGAGTAAAAGTTACTTTTTTCATTAATAACGAGCAATGGTGTTTTTGTGGTTTCTTTTTAAACAGGGTCACAATCGTATCATAGCCTATAGTAGGCCTGTATATTTCTGTTTGTGTTGTGGTCTGATTTGGCTGTTGGATTATGGCAGCAGACACATATCTACAACAAGATTCAGGTTGTATGGAATGGCTTTCACCAACCCATTGCTGCTGCTGTCAGCCAGGGACTTAGTTATAGGTGAGTGGCTTTTTCATGGATTTCAATTGTTTGCTTTACAAAAGTAGAACTTTATGGGAGCATTTTCCCCTTCTATAGCTGTGCTGTAACAAATGGTAGATGTGCCCTCTACTAAAACTTTTTGTTATCCAGGATCTTAGCCCTTACCCTTGAACTTTGTTATTTAACTTGGACCTGCATACACTACCCTTTGCTTGGACCTAGCTGCTCATAGTTAAAAAACATTTTAATTTGCACCCTTTCACACTCTCTGGAGAGGCTTGTAGCAAATGAGTAGGAGTTCTGTTAAGTCAGGTTATTTGAATTTAGCAATTTGGCAGAACAGTACAGACACAATTTTAAGAAACATTATACACAGGTTAAATCTTATTTAATGTGCCTCTTCTCAGAACAGGCCTATCAGCAATACCAAAAGTACAATTTTTCAGCTATACTTCCATTTTGAGGTAGTCCCATTGTTTTCTGAGCAGCACAGTGCATTCAGAATACTGATGACATTTAATTCCATTACCCCCCTAAACCTAATGGGAAAAACAAACAACCTAAACCCCCAAAACAGCAATCCTTTGCCCTGTTATGCAAATAATAACAGCCCTGTAAACAGAGCCCATCGAAAGGAGAGAGAGGCATAAACATTTGAAGAACATCTTATCATGGGAACTTTGTGCATTGCTTTAATGGACCAAGTTATTTGGGTGATCTTCTGTGGATCATTGCTTTGGGTGGGGTAAGAAAATCTGTAATAATTCATGTAAACTGAATGCAGTTGCTCTTCAGTTGTGTTAAAATACCTGTGTGTGAAAAGCTACAGCAGTTAAATGTTATGTCTGTGTGCCCCCAGACCATTTTCTGTCCAAGAAAAATGAAAGCTTGGGTTCTTAAAATTCAGTGGGGGTTTGTAAAAATTTTAATTGATTAAGAATTACTGACTCGAGCATTTGGGTATTAGTTCTTATTACTTGATTTTAGGAACATCCTGTATTTTATGCCTCATACTGCTTCCCCCTTCAACTTTCTGCCAGTAATTCTATATTTAAATTTAAATGCCCAGAGGGAAAATGTCTAAGCTGCATATTTATGAACAGAAATTGTCCAGACATTTTCAAAGGTGCTTTTTGAACCAATCCTTTGGTTCTCTTCATGTACTGGCATACTTGATTCTGTATCAATAATAAAGAAGATAGAAGATACTTTTGACTCATTCACAATACGAAACTGGTTTAATTTCTCTTGATATTGCTCTGTCAGTTTTGGGAGTATTTTCTTCCCTTTTCTACCATTGCCATAATGTATACCCATATCCTCATAAGATAATACATAAATGTACATATAGGTGGTGTGTCCTCCCGTGAAGTGAGCTACTTTTTTAGAAGTACTGAAGAGTGAGTCTTTAGTGGTGGCATTTTCACCAGGCCATGTCCATCTTGGGATTAGCTTTTAAAACTACTTAGTTCAAGAGTTCTAAGTGGGTTTTGATCCTTATGTTTTACTGTTTTTCTAGGGTATCTTGCAGCAGCATATGTGGTTTATATTTCTTAGCAGTCCTTCCAATAAAAAAATCAGATGACCAGAACTGCTTACTCTACTTAAAAAAAACCTAGAACACCCCCCCCAACAATAAAAAGCCCAAAGCAAAACCCCAAAAACCAAAATGATAAAATGCCAAACAAGACCCCAAAAAATGTCCCACCGACCTGCACTGTACATCCCACCCCCTCCGTGGTAGCCTTGCCCTTGGAGCAACTCTTCTGTTGCTGAAGCACAGTTTCAAAAAGCTTTGTGTGTACTGCAGAGCAGGCTGGCTGCTAACAAATGTATTTTGTTAGGTAAAAATCTCAGCTGCCTTTTTTCCTGTTCCCAGGCAAAGCTATGGGAAGAGCACAGGTGCAGGGCCAGGCAGACTTTGTGTTTGGATAATGTAAATGTTGTCTCCTTGCTAACACACAAGTGAGGACTAATAGAAATGCTTTATTTTGTGTACCACCTATTGCACTTGATCATTTGCTCTGAATCTACTCCACATTTATAGTAATTATTTTATCTTTTCACCTAGTTGGTCACCATTAGGAAACAATGATGTTACAGACTGTAAAAGCATCATGAATATTGGCTTTTTGCTGGACTACTCTTCAAAAATTGTGTATTCCCAGATCTAGTAATAGTGTAGTATTCCCAGTGTAGTAATTTTGTTTTCACTGGGCCCAAGATAATTTCACTTACAGACTTCTGGGAAACAACTTTTTAACCTGTCAGTGACAGAACACCATATTTGCCTTCTATGTTGGCTTCCTTGAGTAATGATTTGAAATAGAGATTTGACTTAAGAATTTTGAAGAAGTGTTTTCTTTAGGTATTGAAGAGCTGGTCTGTAGTCCTGTATTTCCCAATTAGTGTCAGTAAAAAATACAGAATTCAATGTTTTTCCCAGGCTTGCAACCTGTATGTTTTTAAATTATATTGTTGTTTAACATTAATATGGAATAGAGAAAAAAAATCAGATTCTCATTATCTGTCTCACTGTAGATATTTCTAATGTGATGTCCTTCAGTGTCCAACCATTCTGTGCATATAAAATTAGAAAATTAAATTTGGCACTTGTGGTGCTTTATAAGATATTTTAAAGTCTGTTTCTTCTTTTGGTCACTGAAGCTACAAGTGAATAAGATGATAGAAAATCCTCCCTAAAGTTCCAGAGTTTGTCTGCTAGGGTAACTTTTTTAATTTGGTCTTTCTATCCTTCAGAACTCAGAATGTATAATATGCTGTTGCATGTGAATTAGATCTGAACTACTGTATCTGAACTTGCATAGATTATTTTTTCTTCATCTGTTATTCTATAAGATGGAAAGCAGGTTATATGTACAGATTGAGACATACCCTTTTCTATGTTGAAGTTAGGTGGCATTCATTTATCTTTGCATTCTGAAATCCTGTAATTTTCAGGTGTTTTCATGATTCATACAGTTGTTTATTCTTGTTAAAAAAAAAACAAACATCCAAACAGAAAACCCGGTCACTTAAGATTAGAATTTTCAGAAGTGGTGTGGGAAAAGGAGTGAAATTATCAGATGTTGCTAGTAGAAAACCTGGAGGTGGAGTGCCTGGCCTCCCTTAGGTCAGTGTGGCTGGTGTTAGGTTGCTCCTGGAACTCCAGACAGGCACTTAGGCTGGGATAAGCCTCACTTCTAATGAGTGAAAACTTGCAAGTCTAATCTGTAAACACTCCTGGTGGCTGATCTTTGCTAAATAAAAATGGAAAGCCTGAATTGGCCTGTGTCCATGTCTACAGCAATTAAAAGGAAAGTACTATTGATTTGTATGACCTCTGTATTCAGTCAGTTCCCAGTCATTGAAGCAGAACTTCACATAATGTGTATTTTCCTTAGAAATTTATAATAGAAATACTTCAGAAATGTTGAGTTAAAATGGGGTATATGATACCCTAGAACTTAAACTGAAAAATACTTTACCATGCTGTGTTTTTCATATTCACCACTTTTTCAACTCTCTTTTTTCTGTAGTGTTTACACTATGTTTCCCTATAGTATTCTTCATTGGTCTCCTGCCTCAGGTGAATACGTTTGTGATGTATCTCTGTGAACAGCTGGACATTCATGTCTTTGGTGGCAATGGTAAGTGCTGTGTTTTTTGTCACTGGCAAAAGTAGGAGATGTGGAGCAGCTAAGATCAGTATATCAGTATGCTAGTTTAAAAATTTAGTGGTTACACTTTTTTTATTACTATCCTCTAAATATAGAATACTTAATTTCTTAAAAAGCCTAAAAGTTTTTGATTAATTATTGAGAAATAGAATTACTGTCCTAGTACTGTCGCGTTCTTCCTTAACTGGTTTCTATTGTAGTTAACTATTCCCATGGTAAAGCTGTTCAAAAACTAAGGAAATTTAAAAAGCCACATAAGATGCTCTTGATAAAAATCACTTGTAGGGGAAAATACGAGTAGCTGCTCTGGTTTGAATTGCCTTTTTTTCCCATCAGAGGAAACTAGGGGGCTGATACCTTAAACAAACTGAAGTATTTTGTATTCTAACTTAAGAAGATAACAATGTTTTTTTTTTCTTTTCATTTCTATGTTATTCAGCTACCACAAGCCTGCTTGCAGCACTTTACAGTTTTATCTGTAGTATTGTGGCAGTAGCATTGTTGTATGGACTGTGCTATGGTGCCCTGAAGGTGAGAAAAATTTTATGCACAGTAAACATTAGTGTTTTAGGGTTTGTTCTCTGCTTCCTTCTGTATTAAGTAACTAAACTATGCAACTACTGAATTAGAAATACTAATTTGATTTACTAGGGTTCCATACTTGTTCACCTGTTATATCAAGAGAGGAGATGCAATGCAGGAACAAAGCAGATACTTTGCTTTTAAAAGGTGTGTGATTTGTTCCTGCTCTAACAGGCTCTTTTTTTTTGGTTGAAAACACATGACATTTATCATCAGTTCCATTCTACATCACTTCTTGAAAATATCATGCAAGTGACCTGTTTTTAGCAGAGTCTGCATGTTCTTGTATATTTACCTCTCAAAATGGCTCATGTAAGTATTTTTTTCACGTGCTGCAAAAATGAAATAGTATTTTCTAATTAATATTTACTTGAGAAGAAATCTACAAATAGTTTTTCTTGTCAAAGTGAAGATGTGGGCCTATCTGAAGGGGAGAATTAGAGAGATAGCTGGCAAAGGGACACACACACCCTCCCCACACTCTGTTTTCCTTGCTTGAAATGTTGTTTGAAAACAACAGTGAAAACAGCAACAGTGATGCTGGTTCTGTTTATTCATTTCAGATGTGTGTCAATAATCAGACATGCACAGTTTACAATGAATTGTGGCATGTGTGGGTCCAACTCAGAGCTGACTGGCTTTTCCATATTATTGCAGAGAGCAGGAAGTTCCTAGGGGAGTTACTCTCATGGTGCTGTCACCTGCAGGCCATCATTAGCTTTCTGTGAATTTGTACACTTGTCTCATTAGCCTTTTGTAAACACATCCATTTAAGAGACAAACAAGCCTTAGCAAAGAATAACTGTTTCATCTTTGCAGATCCAGTACAGATTTGGAAAAAACTAATAAAGCCACTGTTTAATCTCCATTCAGCACATTAGAAAAAGTAAATCTTGAGTCAAAATACATGTAACATTCAAAATTAAGAAGTGACTAAATACAGCTTGTAAGAGCCTGTGGTCTCAAGGAATGCAGAAACTGCTTCAAAAACCTTATGACAAATAATGACTGTTTAATAATTGATATAGGTGAGGGATGTACACTGTTAGAGTTTCTGATGTATAGTTAGACATAGGTAAAGATGGAACAATGTTTTTGTACAAAAAGCCCTGGCTTATGTTTGTGGAATTGTAGTTAATTTCTCCCTTCTCTGTGATATACATAGTTCTTGTATGTCAGGTAAGTGGTATGTACTTTTTCTCCTTTTGTTAACATTTCCTTTCTGTCTCCAGGATTCCTGGGATGGGCAGCATATTCCAGTTCTCTTCTCCATATTTTGTGGTTTGTTAGTGGCAATATCGTATCATCTCAGCAGACAAAGCAGTGACCCTTCTGTACTTTTGTAAGTGACTCAGTTTGTATCTCTTCCCCAGTGAAGAAGCAAGTTGCAAGGAAAAACTAGAAATAATGTTACTACCTATTACTGTTTGAACTTGTACTCACCAGCATTAATCAAAAATAGTATATTTTTAGTTCAATAGTTAGATGCAAAATGTGAGAATTTCTAGTTCCTTCTCTAACAATGACCTTTTTTGAGGCTTCTGGTACATCACTTACATGCCAAAATCTGATTTAACTGCCTGCTGATGTTCTCCAGAATGTCAGTCAGGTGCCATCTTTCTGTTGGTGGGTTTGTTGGGAATAACATGTACCCTTTCTGGGTTTAAAGAGGTGCTCAAGGCACTGGTTTAAGCTCAAGTTCACAGGGGGACTTCTTGAACACTTCCAGTTCATTTGTTGATGTATTATTGTATTGAATGTGTGCTCCAAGCACTTCAACTAATTATACTAAATTACAAGGATCTGTTTTGGTGATGAGTATTCCCATCTAGCATGGGGAAACAGATATTCATGTTATTCTAAGTTGGAGTAGAGATTTAATGCTGAAGGTGTTTGATTCAGTTAATAATGATACATGTACAACAAAGTAGTTCCAGTAGAAGAAACTCCTCCCTTGGAACAGCTAATAAAAGCTCAGCCACAAACCTAGGTTAGACAGAGCTTGAACTTGGATTTTAATGTAGCCATTAAAATGGATTTTCATGTTGGATGAAATTGATAAATAGTGGCCTGGGGTAGATAGTGAAGGACCTCCTCTGTGAACAACAGAATTAATGATTGATTAGTGTTTACACCAGAGGAAATTTCTTATCTTTGGGTTGACCACTAAACCTTTTCCAATTACTCTTAGTTCAGTTGATAAGAGGCCCTTTTCCCTAGATGTTTGTTCTTTTGTTCTATCCAAAAACTAAAGCCTGGATGTTCATGTTTGACCTGCAATTTCACCTGTTTAGCCAGACGTGACATAGTTAAGCATTGTAATACATAGCAGTATGTAATTTCCTTTGAAGATCTAGGGCTTGTTCTGTAGTGATTTTCCTGTCCAGAAAATGAAATATTTCTGCACTATGTAGGGTGTTGTAAGAAAAATCACACTGAGAGGTTGCAAGACAACTGCTTATGGCTAGTAACATTGCACAAGGGCTTGTAAAAGCTTAAGTCTAAGGTTTTGGAGTTTCAGTATCAGCAATGCCTGCTAAGAATTTAGGAGTTTAGTCACTGTGGCTAATTTATTAATTAATCAGGCTAGAATAGGTTTCTTTCATTGTTGCTGTTGAATTAAACCAAAGAATCTATGGTTTTTTAAATGGCATTGACAAATAGACCACTTCTAAATTTTGCACATTTCTGTTATTTCTGAGTTCAAGTTTTGTTTCATGATTGCTAAATTTAGCTTAAAATTCAGTTTTTAATTACTCCTGTGTTGCTACTAGAGAAACTGCAGTTGGAACATCTGTCTGCTGCTCTTTAATAGTTGCTGTTCTGTACATCAGATAACTGATTCTTTTGTAAAATTGGCATCTTTGTAAATTTGCTCAGCAATGTGAAAGCACTGATATGCCAAAACTAATTTTTTGTGATCAATATGAAATAGAACTTCTGACTTTGTTATTATAAAACCACGTAGAACAATACATGCTTTTCAGTGGGATTTTTTTTCTTGCTTTTAAGCTCGTTAGTGCAATCAAAATTTTTTCCTAATTCTGAAGACAAAAACCCTGAGGATCCTCTGTCTGAAGTAAAAGATCCTTTACCTGAGAAGCTTAGAAATTCTGTGGTAAGTAGGCTTTTTAATTATTACATTTTTTTAAAATTCCTCTTAAACCAACACAAAGCAAATGATTATATAGCATCCATCTGGATCTTGCTTAGCTCACACTTGTCACTTAGCATGGTTGTAATTAGAATGGATATCACAGCATTTCCTTTCAGTCTGCAGCTGAATTCATGCTATGCCTAGGAGTATAATGCTGATATTGCAACTTTAAGTTAGTTAAAAGCAGAGAGAGTTGGAATTCCCTCGTGTGAATTCAGTGAAGGATCACTGAGGATCTTCTTTTAGCTCATGGATTATAATAGGTGATGCTTGCTTTTGTGCAGAAGTTAGTGGGAAAGAGTTAATGGTGGCAAAACCATATTAACTCAGTAATTGTAGTAAATTTTGAGGAAGACCTTTGTGCTTGCTTTTCCAGAAGTGGAAAATAAAAATGCTGGGTTTTGGGGCTTTCTGTGGTTTGTGTGGGTGGTCTAATTTATTTTGTTGTTCGCTTTCTTTGGAAGCAGATGTAACCTGTTCCATTTACTTAAGGACTACTTTGAATTTTTAGTACAAATGCACTCTAAATATTTATGGAAGTAGTAATATTTAAACATTATTCTTTTTCACACAATGTAGCAATAAGTAAGAGACTTACAAAGTGTAGTACCTTTAACTTATACAAAGGAAGGTTGAATATTCATTTAGCTTTGTGTAGGGTTCAGCTGTAGGCTGAACTGTATAGTGGATTTTTCATAATACAGCAGTTACAAGCGTGGTGAGGTGCAGTGTGTGGAAACTGCAAATAAATATTTAGAGCTGAGAAACTGCAATTCTTTTAACATTTAGCAGGAGGGAGTGACCATAGGAGCTGCAAGTTCCTCTTTAGCTCTCAAACTGTGGTGTTAGGCTCCAAGGGGGCAGAGGAGCTGAGGATTTTGATAGTCTTTCTTACAGTGGTTTTTAAAATCAGGACTAATTTTTTTAATCAGCTGATTTTAAAAAAAGTAAGTTATAGCCCAAGAAGTTAAGGCTTTGCAGCACTAATTGCTGTGTGTAATTATTTGGCCAGTATTGGAGAAGATAATCTTTTAATGATTTTGTGGGCTGTAAATATTGATGCTGTTTTTACAGAGTGGGAACAAGTCTAGCCTTGAGACTTGGAGTTGCAACGGCCCTAAGTTCGCATTGCCCCCTTGTGGCTGAGTCTGGCATTACTAGTTTTGGGGGGGTTCCCCCTTATCAACGGCTTTTTTCATTTTTTAGGAGCAATGGAAAATTCAGACTCGTTCCTCGGGGTCTTTCCAATGCCATCCTTTACCCTTCTGCAAAGAAGGCAGAAAAGGGTTAAAGAGTATGGTTGTTTCGCCTGGTTGGTAGCTCTGCCTAGGCAGTGCTCTTCCAGGGCTCTTAATTGCCTTGTAGTTTCAATAGTTCTTAGATCATAAAGAGGAAGTTTCATTGTCCCTTCCAGTGCTTTCAGCAGTGTCTTAAGGGGATCCTTACACCACCTCACAGTCCAGGATTAGAGAATATATTTGGTGTATTGATTTGTTGTGCCCCACTGTAAATATGCATCTTTCACTAAGTTGAACTGATACTCTTAGCTGTAAGATTTGTCTTGTGACTTTTCTAATAACTTCAGTGGAAGTAGTTACCACTGGCATAATTAAATTTTTTTTTAATCCATTTCAGTGTTACTGCATTTGTGTATTCAGGAGATATTGAAAGGTTGGACTCTGTCTTGGGGATGTTTTCCAACTTTAATGATTCTAAGAGGTCAACCAATGCTGGTATTTTCTAAAATTATTTTATTTTGACTCTGCAGAGTGAACGATTGCAGTCTGACCTGATTGTGTGTATAGTCATTGGTGTCCTCTATTTTGCAATTCATGTCAGTACAGTATTTACAGTTTTACAGGTAAGATGTTACTTCATGTCTTCAGTTTGCCTTCTGTATGCATGTACTCTGGTGTGATATAAAGTGTATTCTGGTAGCTCACTGAGTCTTCTGGCTAATTTTAGATGGTCTTTGAACGTATAGCATGACAAGTACATGACCAAAGGTCTTCACTTTTATGTGCTCAAAAGATCATTTTCCCTAGCTCTTTCTTAGTTTCTTCTTATGTTCTAGACTTTTATTTTAGCTTCTGACACAAAACAGCTTCTTTTGAGTCATCTATCTCAAATAGTGTCAGGATTATTTTAAAATAAGGAAAAATGAAACTTTAAAAAACGTTTAAAATGTGCAGTGCTTAAAGTCTGAGAGGCTGGACCTTGACTCAGCAGTTCCATGCTGGCATGGCTCTTTGTAGACCATAGTATAGGGCAGTACCTCTATACTGGAATGTATGGGACAATACCCCTATCGTACACTGGAATGATTATTTACAGGACTTCCAAGATCATTTGAGTTTCAAGTTTTTGACTTGTCAGTCTAGCTAGTGTTACTGCTTTGGATACTTCTCGTGTCTCTATGTGACTCTTGATGATAATGGCATGGGACTAGATGCTGTGCTTGAATTTAAGTAAAGCATTTCCCTCAAGAGCTGCGGTTACTGAGTTCTTATTTTGGTATTCCTGCTATTAAACCATTGATTAGCTTATGAAGAGCCTTATGTAAGGCAAATGAAAGTTTCTGGCATGTATTTTAGAAGAATTTTACCTTCCTGCTGCTGCCTAAAGTTAAAGCAAGAAACTAATTAAAAAAGCATAAGTTTAGGCAATTTCATGTCTTCATGTGAAGTGCATTACTTAAGCAGGTGTACTTGTGTTTTCTCAGGAAAATATCCCTTCTATTATTGTATCCCTGAATTTCAGCACTCCACCTGAATTTTGCTTTCCCCCACATTTGAGAGACTTGGCTGTGTGCTCTTTACTAGTTGTATATTTCAAAAGGCTTGGTTTCAGAGAATTCACAAAGAGCTTATGACGAGATAATGCAATCCCAGTTATGCAATTATCTAGACTTATGTAGAAATTTAGCGAAAATTTTAATCTGTAGAAAGCATTATTGTGAAATCCAACCATCATCCCACGTTAATTTTGCAGTAGTTTGACTTCTGTGGAAGGGATTGGTCCTGTGGGAGATTTCTTACCTTCTCAAGTGAATGAGAAATTAATGATTTGTTTTTTGCTTATGCTTATACCTCCTTTTATCTAGCAGATGGAAATGTAAATTGGATTCAGCCTTTAGAGAATAATACCTTTATAAAATGAAATGCATATGGGTCAGAAGCACTGGACTGTGAGAGAAGACTGTACTATTTTTACTTGAAAGTACATTTCAAGTTAGTGAAAATTTGTTAGATATGAAGGAGTTTTTTTCTCACAGAGTTTCTTGTTTTAGCTTAAAATTGGTAGTAAGTTTCTCATGAAGAAATACATTAGTATTGCAGGAGCACTTTCTCGTATGCTGGAAAATACACCAGCAAACGAATATTTTATTTTGTTTTTAAAATACAAATCTTAATTTCTTCAATTCTTCTTTTTAGCCTATTTTAAGTTATGTTCTCTATGCATTGGTGGGTACGGTAGGCTTTGTGACCCATTATGTTCTGCCTCAACTCCGAAAGCAGCTTCCTTGGCACTGCTTTTCTCACCCACTGCTGAAAACCAAGGAATACCATCAGTTTGAAGTCCGGAGTAAGTACTGTTTGTAACACTTCCTTCAACTTGCTCTAGGTGCTGACCAGCTTGTGCTACCTGTTGAGATACTTAATGTCTTTACTATTCTCACTGCTGGAGAATTTAATTATATCTGGTCTATAAATGTATGAGTTTCTCAGTTCCTCATGCTTTGATTCCATGACATTTTATGTATCTCTTAACTGATGATGATAATACAAGTGTTAACATTATTTCAGAGCAGTTCCATTAAAACAGTCTTCAAAATCTTAAGTGGCAAAGTTTGTGCTTATGATTACCTCAAAAGTTTTTCACAGCGATCGAGTGTGTTTCACTAGCTATTTCTTCAACATAGCAAGTTTGCAGATGGTTTAGAGGATTAGGTGTGGTGAATGCTGGTGGCGACTTCATCCTGGTACTGATCTGGTTTTTAGTAGTATTGTTGACATGTTGAACAACAGAAAATAGTGCAAGTGGTCAACTGATGGATGAAGACACCAAGGGACCAGTCTTACAACTTGCTCTGCATAGATATGTGCTTGCAGCTTGTGCTAAAGCCTATGTTTCCATGGAATCTTTCCCCAGAGATGCAGAAAAGAGGAAGTTACACTGCTGATCAGTTTTCCAGAATGGATAAGTGTTGTAATAGACTGTGGGGACTTCACTGTTGGAATGTTTTTATTTTTAACAGCCGACTTAAGAAATTCCTGTCTAAACTGTCTTGGAAAGAACTGAAGCTATTTTGGTTTTTCTTTTCAAATACTTGTCAAAACAAGAAAGTGTTCTACTGCTTTCAGGAGCAGAGAATTATCAGAACTGATTCTTAAACTTTCTACCTTTGTAGCAGCCATTCAGTGTGGGCTTTTCAGTAATGTCTGACTTGTGGGATTTTTTTCCAAGTGATTGCATGTAAGAGGGATAAATATGAATAGCCTTTGTAGTGTGATGTCACTTTATCTGGAAGAAGTGAAAAGTTCAACTGTATGCCTTAACTCTTTAATCTCTAAAACTAGAAAAGCTGCAGTTGGTGCCCTTTGTGTATGCATCAATGTTTACCATAACTTTTGAAATGGAATCTTCTAGCCTATATTGTAGAAAAAAATTTTCAATCTTAATTTGCAGTAATTTGAAACATACCTTACAATTTCTGTAGACATTTAAAAGAAGTCACTGAAGTGTCAGACATTTGTTTTGGCAGGTAGCATAGGCTCTTCTGTATTGCAGAGTTGTAAACCAGGAGTCCTTCAGATTGAATAGGGTTGAAAAACATCCTTTTGCATAAGATAAAATGCATCATTTCAAACAGCTTCATCAATAGCAATGTTGAAATTATAGAAGAGGTGGAATCCAGTTTTTCCTTCTGCATACATAAGCAAGTAGCTTGCAAACTGTTCTGTTGCTGTGTGAACAGTGCAAAAACTCTACCGGGGCTACTGACAGGAGCTTCTCTCTGTTTTGGTTAAATAAAACTACAAAAGTCCATTGTGAGAAAATGGTTAATCCAAGTTAATTGGATGAAGAACCTTTTATTTTGTAACCAGAGATTTTTGATTTGACAATACCATCTGATTCCTGTTTTTTAATATATCTTGACAGATGCTGCGCATGTCATGTGGTTTGAGAAACTTCACATTTGGCTCCTTTTTGTAGAGAAGAATGTTATCTATCCACTGATAGTCCTCAATGAGCTCAGTAGCAGCGCTAAGAATATTGCTAGTCCAAAGAAACTGGATACTGAGTAAGTATAAAAGGCAATTAAGTAATCTTGACTATGTCTGCTGTGGTGGAAAATTAAGTAGTGACTTTTAGCATCAATGGGAAGACAGGACACGTTAATGGTATTGTGTTAAGAGTAAGGCAAGGAATAAATAAAGCTTTTCTTTATTTGAAAGCCTGTATAAAGCTGACTTAAACTGGTAGGAGTGTTATTACACTGTTAAACTAGATACTCTGGCAAAGATAAATCATTCAACTCCTAGCATATACTGTGATGATGGCATGTTGCAGAATTACCTAGGAGCGTGATAAGTTTGCTTGTTGACCTTCAGAGTCTATAATATCATTATCCAGATGGCAAGTTGAAGATGGTGTTGATATGTTCTGGTATTTTACTAGGTGTGAATTTCAGACTTGTTCCCTGAGTTGGTGTGCCAGTGTGCTGCCCCTCTGTAGCTTTCTTCTCTCATCAAGGAATTCCCCAGGCTTCCTAGCCCCTAAGTATAATCCATATCCAGATGGAATTGCACACTGCTTCTTAAATTGAGATTTAATTATAATGCCTTGAGCAGTGTATCTAACTGTCTCAGCCAATGATAGCTCAGTAATAGGCCCTGCATTTTTTGCCTCCAAGAAACAGTAACCAGTGTCTTCTTTTGATTAGAAGTTCTATTAATTTAGAACAAAAGAATATAAATATTGAAATGAAATGCAAAATATTTTGGGAGGCAAGTTGTTAGATTAATGTTGTGGGGTGGTGTGTGGCTTTTTTGGCTTTCTTAATTTTAATCTCTGCATCTAATAAGTTCTTGCTTTGGCTTCATTATCACAGTCACTATGAGACCTTTGGGAGGAATATTGCCATTATGTTACTTTGATATGTCAGTTGCTATGTCTGAAAAAAATGCAGTTCCCTCAATGGAAATTAGAGCAGTACAGTCATGCAGGAAATAATCCAGTGTTCATTAACGTCCTCTTGATGATTAATCTAGCATTTTTGCATTATAGTATTCATAACCTAAATTAAAGACCAGGTTTCTCTTCAGACTACAAGCTTATTTAATCTCCTATTTTTAAAAAAATTTCTCTAGTGGCACACTTAGAAACAATGCTAATTCTTGAACATTGAGTGGCTTGAGAGTACTGATGAAAATACTTAGATAATAACCTTTTTTAAAAAAACCTGAATTTGTCTTTAAAAAAAACCCAATAAATCATCAACACCACTCCCTGAAATTCCAAAAACAAACACAAATCAAAGTTTGAAGAGATTGATATTGCATGACAACACAATTTAAGTGGTCTTTAAACCCCTTTCAGATAACAGATAATAATTGTTCTGTGTGACTTCCTTACACAGGTTGGGTGCTTTAATGATCACAATAGCTGGCTTGAAGTTACTGCGTTCATCATTCAGTAGCCCAACGTGCCAGTATGTCACTGTTATTTTCACAGTGCTCTTCTTTACTTTTGATTACAAAAGTTTTACTGAGACCATGCTGCTAGATCTCTTCTTCATGTCCATACTCTTCAGCAAGGTAACTTTTAACTCCGTTTTTAGGTGTTTCAGTTGATCCAAAGGGGAAGAGAGGATAGTCCTATCTGATAGGCAATCTTGTAGATTCTCAGTCTTTTGTACTGTAATAGATATGCTGTAAAGTAACTAAGACTTCTCCTTCCCAAAGCATTTATGTTGGCTTGAGAAACCATATGTAACTTTCTAAACATCTCCTGAGTTTGTACATAGAGCCATGAAGTGCATCTTCTGTTACTTGCTTTTATAATTACATCCTTTTTTTAAGTTTTAAAACTTGTGGTAGATCAGTAAGAACTCTAGGATGACCAGTAACTTCCTCAGGTTGCAAAAATGTTGATTGTTAGGGAAAATACTGAATTGTTTTTCTCTCTTTTTTTTTTTTTCCCTGTAGCTTTGGGAACTCTTTTATAAATTGAGATTTGTATATACCTACATTGCTCCCTGGCAGATCACATGGGGGTCTGCCTTCCATGCTTTTGCCCAGCCCTTTGCTGTGCCACGTATCCTTTGAAAATGCCAACTTCCTTCTGAAGTCATGTATTTATAACTTCTGAGTACTGCATTATAATGGATTCTGTGTTATGGGGTAAAACTGCTGAAAGAACAGGTTTGTCTAGTGAGTATTTACAAAGAAGCTGTGCACACTTTCTGCCTTGTGACAGTGCTATGTGTTATATGGTAACAGTAGGAATGGAATCCTGACATAAAGGAAACATGGACCAGAAGTGATTCTGAAAATCATGCAGCTTTTTTTTGGTCATTCCCTTTTACAGGAGCCCCTAATTATGGTTTTAGTCCTTGAATTTTGCATTTTAAACCTCTGTAGGCTGGTTTGAATGGAGTGTTGAGCTAATATTTTCAACAGTTTTTGGGAATGACTGTTATGTCTAGTGCCGGATTTCCATCTATTTCTGTTTGTAAAAAAAAAAATAATCCCTTTATTACTGGAAATACTACAAACATCTTTGCTGCATAGAAATTCATAGAGATCTTGTTTTGCTCTTTGTTGATGTTGCTGTCTGTATGGAACACTATCACAGAAGCTAAAAAAAAAAAAAAGTAGTTGTTGCTTTGCTTTCCTTAACTCTCTTATCCTGCAGATTCTGCCATGTTGTTTGTCCAAGCAGCTGTGTCAGCTTTCTTCTCTACTCCACTGAATCCTTTTCTGGGAAGTGCAATATTCATCACTTCATATGCCAGGCCTGTCAAGTTCTGGGAAAGAGACTACAAGTAGGTGAAATAATAAAGCTTTTAAAAAATTGTTTTTTAGATATGTCTGAAGTGTTGGTTTGGGGTTTTTTTTTGTTTGTTTTAATTTGTGAATTTCTGCTATTTTTTCCCTCTGAAAACTGAAAGTTTTCACTGAACTTGTTTCTGAAATACAGCAGCAGCTGTTTTTTACACTAGGGTCATTTGCTTCAGCTGCTTAAGTAATTTCTACTTAGAGGTATACCATCCTGATGGTTTTAAACATGGAATTTATGGTAGTGTGAAGTGTATTTTTAATCAAAAAGTAAGTTTATGTATAAAAAGGTTTTGGGGAACAGTTCATAGGTCTAATTTACCTGCATTCATTATTGTTTTGCTCACAACAAAACTTGCTAACCTTAACACAAAAATCTTTCCAAGTAAGTGTTTTTTTTGTTCGAGGTGGGATCAGTAGTAATGGAATCTTCAGGTCAGATTATGTTTCTTTTTGGTTTATTTTTCTTAAGCTCCCTATTGCTGATAGTGTATCAGACCAATAAAATACTGTATAAACAGTGTATGGCAAGTTGAATGGATATTCCTGGTTTTTCTTATTTCCCTTCTAATATTAGAACAGTTTAAATGCAATGTTCCAAATCTTAGATTAAAGTGTTATGGTTGTAATTTCAGAGAATGAAAGAACTGTCTAAAAATTAATCTTTCACTAAAGTCTAATGAAATGTCAGCTGTGCTAATTTAATTAGTCCTAATTTTTTCTCACATCTAAACCTTCATGATACCTAAGAAAATATATGCACTTTTGTCTAAAGTACAAGATTATTCTCTGCCTATTTACTGTGGACAGACCTTATTAGGTGTTATAATGCTATCATGCACAAAAAGTACTTCTACAAATGAGAAGAGTGGCAAATATGCATCTAAAATTATTTTAAAATAATTTTTTGCAACTATTTTACTGGGAATATTTAACACGATATTAGTAGTTTCTTTCCTTAGACATTCTTACAGTTATATATTTTGTATTAAGTATGCTTTATTTTATTATTTTCAGCACAAAACGTGTGGATCATTCAAATACTAGACTGGCTTCGCAGCTAGATCGGAATCCAGGTAACTCTCCTAGCTGGATTTTGGTAGTTGGTTTAGAGTTTTTTGAGAAGTTGGTTTTGGTTTTTTTTGAGGGGTTGGGTCATTTAGGAAGTGAGTTGGTGTTTAAGGGTTTTTTTTTTTTTTTTTTTTTTGAGGGGGTGAGTTTTCTTTTGTATTCAAATGTAAATGGCTTTTACTGGATTTTTATAAAATTATCATTTTGCCCTCTGATCTTGTCCAGCCATGCCCAACATCTGCCACTCTGTCTACTGTTAGTTTCTCTTCCATCATCTCTCTTGCTTTATTCTTTAGGCTCTCCCATAAGTTTTTCAATTTTACTCTTAGGTTTGTGTTCCTGCTTTACCTTTTTATTTATAATTGTAGTAGGCATTAAACTGTTTTGCTTTTTATTCTTGATTAATTTAAAAAGTGCCAAGTATTATTTGAGGGTGTCTCCATGTCCTCCTAATGAGACCAGTACGATAGACATCACTGAGATGTGTCTGTGCTCATTTGGTTTTGCACTTTATTATCTTGAATAGGTTGATGGGAGGTGCATGAGTGAAACTGAAGGAATAATTTAGAAAATGGAGGAGTGACTAAGAAAAAATTTGGTTCAAAATACACATTTCAGTTGGCATTCATTTGGGGTAATTGTCCCATTAAAAAGGGGACGTAGTGGGTAGAGTATGAAACAGCTTTATGGTTAAGAAAAAGATAGGATTCAATGTGAAGTAATAATTGACATTCAGGCTTGATCTTCTTCTGCAGTTTCAGATAACCTAAATCCAATCTTCCTGCAGGTTCAGATGATAACAACCTGAATTCTATCTTCTATGAGCATTTAACTCGTTCCCTTCAGCACAGTTTGTGTGGAGACTTGTTGTTGGGTCGCTGGGGAAACTACAGTACTGGGGACTGCTTCATCCTAGCCTCTGACTACCTCAATGCACTAGTACACCTTATAGAGATAGGAAATGGCTTGGTCACCTTCCAGCTGAGGGGGCTTGAATTCAGAGGTGAGTGTCTTAGATGTCCTTAGCCGTCTGAACTAAAAAGCAGGCTTCTGCTTTGGAAACTTAAGTTATTTTCGGTTCTATCCTGTTAATAAATTGTGTTGAAAATGGTCTGCAGGGCCTCTTGATGCTCCTGTCACTTGATGCTAAGTCCCTCTTTCCATTTGAGTGCAGTATGGCTACTTGTTAGTGCAGCCTAACTAAAATGGGATCTTAGAGTGGTAAATTAAGCTATATGCTTTGTGTTTGTTGGTGGATAGTTCACTTAATGTTAAAATAATTTAATTGGAAATAGTTTGAATTTTAAAGTCTTCTAAACACAAGTTCACATTAAAGCAATCATGTAAAGCATTCAATTCTTTCTTCTTTCCTTGGTTTTCTCCTAAGGAACTTACTGTCAGCAACGAGAAGTAGAGGCCATCACTGAAGGTGTAGAGGAAGATGAAGGTTTTTGTTGCTGTGAACCAGGCCACCTTCCTCACATGCTTTCCTTTAATGCTGCCTTTGGGCAGCGTTGGCTGGCTTGGGAAGTGCTTGTAACAAAGTATGTTCTGGAGGGTTACAGCATCACTGACAACAGTGCAGCTTCCATGCTTCAAGTCTTTGATCTCCGGAAAATTCTCACCACTTACTACGTGAAGGTGTGGAGGGGCTCAGTGCAGCCTGTGGGGGGAGGTGGCTGGGCTGCCCCTGGGAACTGCTCCATGTTTGAACTCCTAATGTCTGTCACACGAAGCTCATACAGGGTGAGGGGATAATGACAGGACAGATGCATGAACACCTTCTGCAAAGGAGGACAGTTTGTTGTGCTGACTGTGGCTCAGTTCTCTGGTGCATGAGCAGGACAATGACCCTGTACTCCAGATCAGAGAGAGGACAGCTTCTAGCTGAAATTGGAATAGAAACATTAATACTGTTACCAAGTACAATAGTTCTGTTGTAAATGAAAAGTTGATTAGTCTGTTTCTTTAGAGAATTCCAAGCTGCTTTGGTCTTCATAAGCTGTCCAAACCCATCTTTAGTTCCCAAAAAACAAACAAGCCCTCTCCTCCAGTTTTAAGACAACTGTAGGCCTCAGATTGTTTCAGATAATCAGTGTACTAATTGAGATCTTCCATAAGCTACTCTGTTTCTGAGAGCTGAAAATTTTCAGGTTAAAATATTTCCAAGATACTTATTTGCACATGCATACAAGTTGTGTTCCCTAGCATAGGGGTCTTAAACTGTTTTGTGTTTTAGCTTTCTAAAATTAAGAATTCTTTAGAAATTTGGTATCTAAGCCTCCATGTTAACTAAATAAATTTTTCTATGTATTTGTTTTCTGCAAAAATTACAGTGAGGGTCCTATTCCATCCTTTTTTCCCTTTCCTTATTTCTTCAGTGTAGGCTTCAGAAATCCTGACAGCCTTTGAAAAATACTCCTATACACCACCTGTATTGTGTTTTCTGTGCAAATTTGTTGTACCTGTCAGTAATATAAATGCTGCTGTGTATCAGTTTTGTTAATTTTCACAAAAATAATGTAAATAAGTTGAAACAGTTGAGATTGCTCACTGGGTTTTTAAAATTGCAATATTGACTCATATTTTTAACTGCTGTTGTTTCAGGGAATCATCTATTATGTCACAACATCCCCCAAGCTGGAGGAGTGGTTAGCTAACGAGACAATGCAGGAAGGGCTGCGGCTGTGCACAGACCGCAATTATGTGGATGTAGACCCAACATTTAACCCCAATATCGATGAGGATTATGACCATCGTCTGGCAGGCATCTCCCGAGAGAGCTTCTGTATGATATATTTGAACTGGATAGAATATTGCTGCTCTCGAAGAGAAAAGGTAAGTATGTGGGGAAAGCCATTTAGTATTGTAGGATGGTGTCACTTTTTTCCTGTTGGTTTGACTTACAGATGGGTTTAATGCTGATTTTTAAAATAAGTATGTATAATCCAAGTGTTTTGATTGAAATAGTTTTGATCTTCCAGTTTTGACATGTGAATTTAATAGATTCTGTAAATAGTGTATGGTTTAACCAGTTCACTAATGAATTTTATTTGCCAGCTCAAATCAACCAGTTGAATCTTAGACATTCATCTACATGCAAAAGAGTATGTCTGCAGAATTTATGTTTCAAACTTAGATATCAGAGTTCACAAATCAATCCTAATTTAAACAAAAAAAGACCAAAATAAAAGTCCCTAAAACCCAAGACACCTGTTTCCAGCTTACTAGACTCACTTCTTCTTTCTCACTGATCACATTATACTATTCCTTTGGTCCACTGGAATTGTTGGCTTGTGAAAACAATCATACTACGTTCAACCTTTTCTTCTTTCCACAATCCTTTTAAATAGGAGTGTTAGTATGTTTGTAGAGGAATGCCTTGACTTTTTACTGTTTACGGTAAATAACGGTGTCAAATTAGTGTTGCCTTTGAGAATAAGCAGAAATTGATTGAGATGAAAGGGACAGGAGTATAACTGGAATTTACATATTTAATGAGGGATCCAAGACTTAAGGGTTCAGTTTTGCTTTGGAGGTAAAAGTTGAAGCCTGTTTTAACAGGGGTAAGACTTAGTGTCCTGTGGTCAAAGGACAAGCAACAGCTAAAGAAAATTATTTCCCTCCAGAAAATGAATATGAAATATTTTGTATATGTATTGAAAAATCAGATTTAATCACTTAATTGAATGATGCCATTTGCTAGGACATTATATGCCCTGGCTATACTACTGGCTTTGAACTGAGGGCAAGTCTCCCCTAACTGTCCCCTTGACTAAAGCTGCAGTTCAGGGAAGTTGGTAATGAACCTAATGAAGGTAAATCAGGCTTAAATACTCCTAACAAGTGATAATCCATGCATCTGTTTCACTTGCAATTTATCTTATTTCAAATAATAATATAGGTGTATTTACCTTTACAAGTATTCTTAGGTACTTAGAAAACTCTTGCTCAGACTTTGAATCGGAATTGTTTTTCTAAGAGTGACTGCTGTGGTAGTTACATACACACACTTGAGAATTGCCATGTTTGGGTCTTTTTACTCCTTCTGGCAGAATCTTCTTTTTCACTGGCCATTTCATTATTCCATTCACCTAACTTACTATTTCTTTTTTGTTATTGCAAGCCACTGGATTCAAGTAAAGACTCACCCCTAGTGACACTGTGTTATGGACTGTGTGTTCTGGGGCGGAGAGCACTGGGAACAGCTTCACATCATATGTCTAGGTAATAAAATGCTGTTGCTGTAAGTTTCCTATGCTCAAAATCCCTAAGTTCTTAGACTACTGGGTTTTAGATGAGTGTCTTTTCATAGAAGAAATAGATAATTAATGTCATCTTTCCTTAAACTGGGCAGAACTTGCAGCTGAGCATATGTTTTATTGAACTAATTCAAGATGGGAGTTTTGGTATGGGTAAGGACTGGTTATAACCAATTTAGAACTTGATTGAGTTCTAAAAGTAAGCTCCATTTCCTGTACCAACTAGATGTCCTATATGGAAATGAGGGGAAAAAGAAAAAAGTTTGTTAAAATGAAAAACTGATATGTCTTGGTGCATGTTACATGAGACCATTGTGGTAAGTTGCACTGTTTAGCTGGCTCTGAGGCAAGCAGTTGTTTTGTACAAATCTTCAGCTCAATTCTGTTGTCATGTGGCAACTTTCTTGCAGATTGACAGCCTCAATTTTAGAAAGCAAATGTAAAATACAGCCATAAGGATCAGTAAATCACGATGTGATGGCTTAAAAAGCAGCATAATTGGATGGGGAAGCTATTGGTCAGCTGGATGCTGACTGTAAAATCTGTTCTACTTAAATTTCAGGGCAACTGTAGATTAATTCTTCTAAGTACCAGCCAATTGCCTGTTGAAGGTTATGTATATATGGAGTTGCAAGATTCATCAGAGCATACTTGATTTTTTTCACTCTTAAGTTAGCTTAGTAATTGAAAACAATGCCTTTTAAGCATGAAAATTTGACAAGATATTTGTTTTTCTAAAGCATGGGCAACTGAAGTTGCATACCCTCTTTAACTGCTCTTTGTTACATGGCCTGAAAAGTTTTGCCTTTAAAAATCTTTAGAATTAGATCAGGCACTCCTCATGATATTTGTTTGCTTTAGTCCCTGTAAATAGTCTGTTGCATGTATAGCTTGTTCATTACCTGTTCAGTGCAGGTAGACATCTGATGTACCAAATTTTTTTCCACCACTCGTCTTTTCCCTGTCTTATCCTGTAGCTTACCTTGGTAGAGAAGAATTGTGTGCCTTTCTGTGCAGCTCACTAGTTTCTTTTCAGTGATGATAACTGTGGGAATGTTTGTACTTCTGTTAATATTTGGGTTGTTTTCCTTTCTTCCCCCCTCAACAGTAACCTGGAATCTTTCTTGTATGGCCTGCATGCCCTGTTTAAGGGTGATTTCCGTATATCTTCAATTAGAGATGAATGGATCTTTGCTGACATGGAATTACTGAGGAAAGTAGTGGTTCCTGGAATACGGATGTCACTGAAGCTACATCAAGTGAGAGATTACACAAAAAGATGTGTCCAGTTTTTGATTTCTGTGCATTTGTTCTTTTAAAAATTAGTGGGTGGGAGAAAGGAAAAAGGATCAGAATAAAAGGACTGTGATAGAAATTGATAACTGAAAACGAGGGAGTATCATGTCTTGTCCTTTGATTTATTACAGCTTTTGTGGAAGGTGATACAGAGGAAAAGGGAATGCTGTTTATCCTCAAAGCTTGAAAATTACATTAACTGTAGATCAGAGAACATGTCAAGCCCTGTTTCATACCATTCTAGAGATTTCCCTTATGAACAGCTTCTCTGATATTTTTCTTCACTCTTCCCTCCCTACACATATGTAATTGGTTTAAAGGCTGTGCATTCAAAGCTTCATAGTCCTCTCCTCCAGTGGGAGTTGTCTTTCTTGTTCTTTTTGCTTTGAAGTGTTGTAATCACAGGTTTCAGGTGAGAAGGAGAAGGTTGCTCTTCCATAAGCTGAAATTAATTTGTCTTTGTAGTGAAGTGCATGTGAAGATGAACAATCTCAAATTCTGTCCAGTGCATGTATTAACTCAGCAAATACAATAGAATCTACTTAATGATAAGCACTCTGTAAGGAGGGGGAAGTGTTGGTACTCAGGAAGAATAGATTGCTTGAAAATCATAATAAGTAAAAAAATCTCAGTTGCAGTTTAAAAATTTTTATTAAAGTTTTTTATGCCGTCATTGCAGTCTTGCGTCCCCCAAAACTAGCAGTGATTGAATTAATTCATTCATGCAACACAAACCCTGAATTTAGGAGAATGTGTCTTAGGAGTACATATAGCAAAGTAGAATAATTACCAAATCATTGTTGAAACCAGCAGAAGTACCACTTCAACTTCAGAGGATTACTGTGCAGAATGGGTTTGATTGAAGTCAGAGAATGACAAGTAAGAAAAAACAGGTCACGCTAACAATAAAAAATAAAAGTTCTGAACATTATTATGTTAATCTATGAAAGATTGATTTATTTATGTATTATTTTATTGCAGTGCATTAACATACCCAAACTTCAGTCAGTGTGGAATGTAGCTATTAACCACAATCCTTTCTTTCACCAGAAAGTAATGTTACCCAATACTGAATTGAATTGGCAGGTTTTGCTTTTATTTGACTGGCAGTAATGTAAGTTGTCTTGATGGTACCTGATGCTAAAAAAGTTTGTCATCAAGTATTAATGTGAACTTTTTATTAGTAAATATTGTTTTCCTCCTTACTGCTATTTTCATATAGTACAGTCTCAGTGAATAATCACTGCTTTATTTAAGTGTGTTTTACAGTTGGAGGCTTATGAATAAGAAGAGAAGCTAAAACTAAAAAGCTTCTGCCAACAGTATAAATAGATGTAAACCTAGTGTAAAATTCACCTAGAAATTTGCTTGAATGAGTGATAGGCAGGTCCTTCCAATCATTTTGGTTTTAAGTTGAAAAAGAAGCAAACAGAATCAATCTGTTGTAAAAGAAATAATCTTTAACAGTGTTCTAAAGTATGTATATGATACTTGTGATGGCTAACTTTGTGTAATGCACTGATCATTTCCAAAGTTTGAGATGTGAAATGTCCTATTTTTATATGTAGTTACATCTGATATGTTAATCATACCTTATTGAACATGTATTATTGCAAACAGGATCACTTCACTTCTCCAGATGAATATGATGATCCTTCTGTCCTTTATGAAGCTATAACAACTCATGAAGAAAATCTAGTTATAGCACACGAGGGGGATCCTGCTTGGCGGAGTGCAGTTCTTTCCAATTCTCCGTCCCTCCTTGCCCTGCGTCACGTGATGGACGATGGCACCAATGAATATAAAATCATTATGCTCAATAAGCGCTATCTCAGCTTCAGGGTCATTAAGGTAAGCTTTATGTACGTTTTACAGTGTGACAGCAAGTTGGTGTGTGTTTTAATAACTACATCAAACTGCTGCCTCAACTGCAATCTTTACTCATTTGTTATTAATAGGGCTGATTCTTCTCATACAGTGCAGAAAATCAGTTCCTTCTCACTTAAAATGTTATTTCTCGTCCCATTCTTATATTTGTTTATCGTCACTGTTGCAGCCTGTGGCCATAAGTGCAGCCTGTAAAAGAACAGTGTATGAATGCTGGCAGTTCTGCAGTGGAATACTGCATGTGCTCACGAAAGCTTTGGTATAACACAGCAGTCACTACGTGCTCTCACAGCTTCACTTTCTGACACAGCCTCTCTTCTTGGCTTTTGCAGGTCAATAAGGAGTGTGTACGTGGCCTGTGGGCAGGACAACAGCAGGAGCTTGTCTTCCTGCGTAATCGTAATCCAGAAAGAGGAAGTATCCAAAATGCTAAACAAGCTCTGAGGAACATGATCAACTCATCTTGTGACCAGCCAATTGGATACCCCATCTATGTCTCACCTTTGACTACTTCCTATTCAGATAGTCATGAACAGCTAAAGGACATTCTTGGGGGAGCCATCAGCTTAGGAAACATCAGAAACTTCATAGTGTCTACATGGCACAGGTGAGCTGAGGAAAGGGCTTCTCATTAGTATGTGTTCATGCTCTCATATTCCATTAACTAGTCTTGCACAGGCCCAACACAGCACAATTTATAATATTCAGTCACATTAAAATAAATGTATCTTGACTTTTATTTTAGGCACATCAGTAACATATGGCAACTGCTTTGGTACAAGATTAATCTCCGAGGCTGAGTAATACACCACAAACTATGTAAATGAGAGCTCAGAGGAAAGAGGACAAAGTCTAGATGCAGGAACTGCTACTTCATATCTAATGTTAGGTCTGATAATGAGACACAATGCAACTTCTGTACTGTGTTTTTCAGTATGATGGCTTTTGCATTCTATAATACCATCTTTACAGAATCAGAACTGTTTGGTAGGGTTCCTGTCTGGCAGATATTTACCATGAAAGTGCCTATATTAATGTTTTAGGGCATGCTTATAGTTATGCATGTAGTTATGCAAGCTTTAGCTGTTCAAAATCTCACAAGTGCTTATATGTTATATAATGCTGTATTTTAGTGCCAGAACAAGTAACTGGAATGATATAATTATTTCTCTATGTGGCCCCTGGGTAATCCAGTACAAACTCTTGCTGTGCTGTGTTTTATAGGCCATGAGAACTTTTACTGCACTTCTGGCCCTCTGTGACTGCGGCTCCAAAAGCAGCAGTGGCAAGCATGTGGCATTCAGAAATGTGCATCCAGTTCTTAGTAGTTCCAGGAGCTGCTGCCATGGTCTGGACAGTCCTGTGGCTGTTCTGTTCTGAAGGTTGTGTTTATCTTAGACATGTACAGCATATCAGAACAGAAAGTGCTGCTTGACCCAGAATGCCAAAAATACCACATTTACTGGAGTCTGTGGTGGTTGTCTCCTATTGCCATCAGCTTGTCCAACTTGATGGAATAACGGGTGTAAGCATGACACACAACAGTATTTGAATCCAAGGTGTTTATGCTTCAGGATTCTGTGTCCTAGGACCAAAAAAAAAAAAAATTGGAAAGGAGTGCTCAGTGTACTCGAGTGTGACAGAAAAGAAAAATAAAAAGAAGGAATTGAAGGGAGGAGGAGATGTGCTGTGGTTTTTGTGTCCATTTGAAATTTGTTAGTATAAACGATGTGATGAAAAAGCTTTCTGGTGATGTATACTGGAAAATGATGGCTAACCTACTGTCTGAATGTTCAGTATGTGCTCCAAACAATTGTGAGTGCATTACTGAAGATAACAGAAACTAAATACATTAAAAATCCAGCAACCATTCTTTCCTTGCTAGTCTGTGCAGACAAAGACTTTTGCAATGTAACAGTTATAGTTGACTAGTGTGTTAAACAGCATAAGTTTTACTGGCTGTTCTAAAATAACCAGGATGTTCTATGAGCATTTGAGTTCGAATTTTATCACTTTATTTTACTTCAGAGGTGGCATAATTTTTAAAAAGCTAATTTATATGAGCTTTTGACTTGTTGAACAGCTGTCATGAAGAAAACTGCCATCTCTTAGAAAGCAGTGTTTGTATTTGCAAAGCATATTCTGAGAAAATAAGATTAAGTTTTAGCTGATTTTAGGAAGTGCCATGAATTGTGCTGAACCTTTTGCTTGTCATGAAGCATTTCTTAGAATCCTAATGGTTAGGAGGTGTGCCTTAATGTATGACTTACATTATGTTTCCAGACTAAGGAAAGGCTGTGGAGCTGGCTGCAATAGTGGTGGAAATATCGAAGATTCAGATGCTGGAGGTGGAGCTTCTTGCACAAGTAACAATGCAACTATCAATGAGTCACAGAGCAGCATGTCACAAGGAGGAGGGACTGCAACTACAGGGCAGGGACCTGGAGCAGTACAGCACCCTCCTGTTGCAACTCATCCCACTTTTCCTGCAGCTCATCCACCAGCTCATCCCTCCACTCTGGGTAAAGTTGAAACTTAGAAACAGTTTCATGCAAGTTCAGGCCTAGAGGTGGAACAGGCCTTTCAGTTTTTTGGCCTAGGTTAAAAGAAAAAGCAAACAAAAGTGACGTGATTTTATGTCATGTTAGGAGCTTCTGGATTCATCTCAAACTGCAGTACTGTTTTATACAATACAAGGTTCCCAAACAGATCTGATAAATAGGGGTATAGTTGTACTGACAAAATAGATTAAATAACTTTTTATAACAGGTTTCTACAGACTGGAACTTTTCACTTATGTTGTTTGCAAATGCTGAACTTATCACTTTTTGGGAATGATTATATTTCTTATTTATGCAGTGAAACAAGTTCCCTTATTTGCACAGTATTCTAGCTGAATCTATCCAGGGGTCCATAGTGATCTGTATTTAAGGAGGTGACAAACACTAAAGCTGAGAAAAAGCCTTTCAAACATTGCCTTTACTCACAAAGAAAATATAGATGTATGTAGTTGAATGAACATTATTAGACCTATCAGCTGAGGAGAGTTATCTGCAAATATTTAGTACAGGAAAAGCTTACACCAATGCTCATGAACTGCAGTTGTGGTTTTTTACTTTAAGTGTATTAAATTTGAACTTGTTTTAAAATAGCTTTTGTTCTAACAAATTTTCTGACCCAAACTTTGAATGTGTAATCAAGTATATTAAGAAAGAATAGTCAGTATTTTGACACATGGGCATCTGTACCTCTCTTACTACCTTAAGTGTGGTAAACTGAAGTGATAATATTAAGTAAGAAATTGTTAAAGTGGAAAGCGGAAGACTGAAGCACTGAGGTACTTGTCTGCTAGGGATTGTGAATTGAACAGAATATGAAATTCTGAGATAAGATGAATGGAATGTATTGAAATGTTCTGCTATGTGAGATGCAGCAGAGATCTCCTGCAATATATTTATTTCAGATGATGTTGGTGAGACAAATCAGTTTGTATATCTGTGCACTGGAACATTTGTGTGTTGGCAATCTATTGCGTGCGGGAGGCTTTATCAAACTTTGCTGATTGTGTATCTTTTACTTTTAGGCACCAGTCACAGCTCTCACTCTGTGCAGTCCAGCCTTGTCAGACATTCCCCTGCCCGTGCCTCAGTAGCTAGCCATTCATCCTACTGCTACGGCAGCCGCCATTCATCTCTTCGCACATCCACAGCGGGCTTTGTGCCTTGCCGGCGCTCTTCCACCAGTCAGATTTCCCTTCGAAACCTCCCCTCATCCATCCAGTCCCGCCTGTCTATGGTGAACCAAATGGAACCTACTGGCCAGACTGGGGTCAGCATGCAGCATGGACTGCCCTCTTCTAGCAGCTCCAGCCAAAGCATCCCAGCCTGTAAACAGCATGCCCTTGTGGGCTTTCTAGGGACAGAAGGAGGGAGTAATGCAGCTGAAACTCAGTCAGGTGGCAGTGCAAGCCCTGCAAATCAAATGCAAGCCAAAAAGGATGACGTTATTTACAGAATCCAGGTGAATAGTCTAGAAGAACAAATTAACTTATGTTTCCATGTGCTTTTATTAGTTGTTCCTTTGTATGCTGTTGAAATTGCTTACGAATACGCATTCTGGAATATCTGGTATACAGTTTCTGTGCAGTTACGTTTGGAGAATTAATGTAAAGAAAAGGTTTTCTGGACAAGCAGCCTTCCTGCATGTTCCTTGTTTACACTGTTTTTATGTTTTGCTGTAGTGCAGCTCTGAGAATGTCAGTGGGAACTCAGTTCCACTTCATATTTAATTTACCTTTTATACATCACAGCAGCTAAAGTTAAACAGGTTTATTTGCAGAGTAGAAAGCTTCTTTCTTTGAAGCCAAGTAGATTGTCCACAAAAGTGTAAAAATACTTGCTTTCACTTTCATATGTATTTATTCTTTGGTTATATCCACGGTTTACTAAGCAGCAAACATTTCACTATTGACCAAGTTAATCATGGCAGCCTTACTTGTTTTGTGAAAATCCAGGAAAAGTGTATTCCTGCTACCTTAGCTTTTATTAGCCCCACATATAATGCCAAAGACATGTTTTTGTGGGAAACCTCAAGAAGTGTATTTAAGAGGTTAGGTGATAATAAACATGATTTCATTGCTGATACCACCTCAGTTTAGAGTAATCCTTGGTAAATTGCATCATAGTGGGCAAAGTTAATTTTTCAGGTCTGTGCTTAGTAGCTTTTGTTTGCAGGTAAGGGCCTTATTATGAAGCTGCTTACTAGATCCTCTGTGTGAGGAGGATAAAGTGATTATGTGCCTTTGGATAATGAACATTATGGAGTTCTCTCTGTCCTTAATTAGGAAGAATTTTTCAGGAGTTTTCTCCTGCTTGTCCTGTGGAAAAGCCAGTTTACTTCAAAACACAGGGTGGGTCTCAACTAACCAGCTAGTAGATAAATACTTCTTCTGCCTAACAATGAATTCCTCAAGTTTCTTAAGATATTCTGTAAGAAGTAATGAGCCGATTATAACAGCTCATCATCACTTAACTTTTCCCTGCTACTAGACTGTGTGCTGCCAATGCTTTTGTTGTGCCAGCTCCCCAACCCTGCCATGAGCTAGTATAACTGAAAGAAGTGGGGAAGGGAACTACAGCTGTTGCTTCAGTGAGCTGGCATATTGTCAGCTGTATCTGAAACCACAGAGTCATTTCCAAATTAAGTGCTGTTTGGGCTTGGAGAGCCCGGAGCTCAAGTTTCCAATCTTGAAATTGATCAGAAATCAATTTCAGTGGGTAAAGTCAGTTATCTGGAATTATGCAGAAGGTTACAATTTATCTGTTTCTTTTAAATTTTGGCTGAACTAACAGTCAAAACTCAATTCCTACTTATAGTTAATGGATCCCAGTCAAGTACTGGAAGGGATCAACGTGTCAAAAAGGAAAGAGCTGCAGTGGCCAGATGAGGTGATACGGCTAAAAGCTGGAAGAAACAGCTGGAAAGACTGGAGTCCTCAGGAAGGCATGGAAGGCCATGTAAGTTTTGTTTGGAAGTTGACAAGCTAACCTTAAAAAAGGCAGTCTTCATTCTGTGGCAGTCTGCCTTATGTCAATGCAAAGATCGATGTAGTAGGTAAGTTAGATCAGTGGCTGTCCTCCAAGTCACTGTTGTTTGAAAGAGCAGGTCTAGAATCCTAATTTGAGGCAGAGAGCTTTTTCTGCAAAAGATGCAGGATGACGTTTCAAATGTTGTCAGCCGCCACTCCTTCCTTGCCTTCTTTCAGTTTCTCATGATCTCTCAGGCATTGCTCTCATTCATTCAACATTCATTTTCCTTTCTTTAAATTGTCAATCCCTGAACAAATAAAGATGAGTTTACTAACAAGTCCTTAATTGAAAGATTAACAATATTTGGTTTTAAATTATTCTGATCAAAATAGAGCCAAATAAGATTGTCTTTAGGTATCTTTGTTATATAATAGATTCATGATAGGTGTTTACTTTCCTTTAGGAAGGAAGTCTGTTCTAACCAAAACATGTGAAAGCCCATGACTTGAAATTCCATCTGTCTTTTCCCTATGGATGTTACATCTGCAGTTTACAAAAGTTCACTCTATTGGCTAGAAAACTTATCTCCCAATTTAGGCTCCTTTTTAGGCTCCTCCTAATTTAGGAGCCTAAATTTTTAGGAGCAAAAAGCTCTTTGTGATCTTTGAAGCTTTTTGGGTTTTTTACTGAGATGTACTTTTTTTTAAGATCTTGGTGTCTGTAAAGATGCTCCAGTATTCTTTCAGTGATAGATGGAAGAGTCAGAGACACTCTCTGCATTTGTTCATCAAAACAACTGTATTTTCATTTGAAATAGATCAGTTTTGATGAAATTCTTTGCTTACCTCAGTTGGAGGCATTATTTAGAAATTGCTTGTAGGGATAGATTTTGCCATTTGAAAACCTACGTTGCTGTGGATATATGTGCAAACTTCAGGTAAGAAATGGAGATATGCCAGTAACACAGTGTACACTGTATCTGCCTTGCTGTTGCATCTACATGAAGAAAATGCCCTGGAAACACCATTATTCATGGAAGGAATCTATTTGAGTTGGCAGTCCACTCTTAGGACAGCGGGGTTATATTGTAGGTAACACCTGTGAGTAGAATGCTGTTGTAAACATTCTCAGTTATGTTGGGTTTAGACATACTGTTGCAGATGAAGAACGTTGTAAAGATGCTGAATGTAAAGTGTTACATTGGAAAATGGCCTCTTGCCTGGTATCACTACACAGTTTATTTCAGGAGTTTGAGTGTGTTTTGTGAATTGCAGCTTGCTGACATGTACAGTGATTGATGCTATAGAAAGATTAAAACAAGAAGATTTAAAGGTCAGAGTAAGCTGTTGTTCTGAATGCTTCTTATCTATTTTTGGTACAGCATATAGGCAGGTTTTTTTAGAAGAGCATCTTTTAACCTAAGAAGAAAGGGGGGAAAGCACCAGATTATCCTGTGTGTGATTAGGAGAAAAGGATTTAACTTGATGACATAGTTTCCACTGGCTGCTTCAGCTGCTGGTGGTTAAACATACTAGTATCAGTAAAGCTCTTAGGACAGTCTTCCCTTTCTGATCCTGTGGCTGTGGTCATTTCTGCAAATAGGCAAAAATTATTCTTACCTGCTGAGTTGGCTGCTCATTAAGCAGTTTACCTTATGTCTGCTCTCAGTATGAAGTTCGGCACTCAGTAGTTTAAAACTTTGCTGCTACATATAAAAAAGCATTTTTCCTAACTTAGCTTTTTATCTTGCTAAGTATGCAGTACAAGTTGTATATAAGGCAGATATTTTAAGGCTTCTTCAAGAAAATTAGATTTAGCAGTGCTCTTTGGAATGTAGCTACTTTTTCCAGTTTTGAGAGGGTATGTCCAGCATTACTTTCTATGCTACATGATACTGGGGTGTAGAAGAACCCTTTTCCTCCAAGAGATTCTTAGCACCTCTTGACTACCTAGTGACAACATTTTGCATGTATCAGATAAATGCCAGTCATGATAGAAGAGATGATAAAACTGAGTGTGGTAATATGGCAGTGATGAGTTTTAATCTGTGCAACTTTTTGCATACACGCAGTTTTAAAGGAGCCATGATATTGATGTCTGTAGCTATCTATCTCAAAGGCCCCCATGTTAAATTGGACAAGGATGTAGTATTTGGGACCTCATTGGAAAACTTATTGTGTCTGGGGACAGGATTCTTGGCTCATTCCATACAGCACTATAAAAATTCTGTGGACACTTTGAAGTCAGACTTCAACAGATACATAAACATCACACTGTTGCATCCAAGAGGAGCTAAAGATTCCATGCTTCCCTGGCTGATCCAGGCTCTCCCTGTATCTGTGCAGCATAGATCTCATGCAATGGACAAAGCTAAATGTCCTTCACCCTTTGTTAAGAGAGGTTGCCAGCTGTTTATCATGAAGACTGAGTCTCTTGGATTGGATCTTGGAAGATTGTGATTTTCTGTCTTTTTTTTTTCCCCTTTATATCTTTAGGACTCTTGAAAACTTTACTGCTGTGGAATTTGTAAAAATTAGTTTTACTTGGTTTTTTACTTGCTTTGTCTTGAATTAACGGTTCTTTTCCCACAACTGGAAAATTTGAGATAATTCTATTTCTGTGAAGCTGATGGTACTTAACACTCATGTTAATGGAGCATCTTTATTGTTCCTTTGGGGCACCCAGAAGTTAAGAGTGTTTTTTTAAGGAGGCAGATGAACAGAGGCATACTAGGTATTAAAAAGGACCTTCTGGCAGTCAGTGTCAGGTAGGATCCTTGGAAGTAGCAGATCAAAATACTTAAATTCTGTTGATCCAAGAGACTATGGTACAATAATTTGTAGCACTGATTCTGGTCCCTTTCTTCTTTGTAATATTTTTAATTCAAAATTCTGTTTGATTGACTTGATTTAGAAGATCAACCTTGAATTCACAGTGCATAGATGCCCTGATTTTGCTAAGTACTTTTACTTGCAAGAGACAGTAATTTACACCTGACTCCTGGTAAACTGCAGCTCTGTGCTGCACAACACTGAGGTATTTTAAGATTATTACAAATTGAGCATCAAAATATCCCAAATCTCTATGTGCAGTTTTTTCGGTTGCTATTCACTTTGGATGAACTGTTTGGTTCTGATTTGGTCAAGTTGTTTGTTCCTACTCAAATCTAAATCAGACTGGCTGCTCTCATGGTTGTAGAAAACCAAAATGTTATTTTAAGCTGCAGATCTTCAGCAAGACTTCAACATGCAGCTTATCTGTGGGTATGCTGTCATTGAAAAATGAGCAACTAAGTCAGTATACCACCTGTATTTTTGCTCCTTTGGTCCTGTAAGGGTCTTGAGTTATCAGCCACATCTTTGATATGACACCTCTCCCTGTGGAGCTTACATTTTATTTTACTTTTTTTTTCCCTCCAGGTGATTCACCGCTGGGTGCCTTGCAGCAGAGATCCAAGTAGTCGGTCACACATAGATAAAACCATCCTGCTGGTTCAAATTGAAGATAAATATGTTGCTGTTGTTGAAACTGGAGTCCTTGAACTTGGGGCTGAAGTGTAAATCTCTTTGAGACTGAAACTTCCCCTTCTCCGATGGTTCAGAAGAGAGAAGGGTCCAGAAGAAGCAGCTCCCAGGACACGGAACTTTGGTCCGGTTGTAGGGAAGGACTTGAAACACAGATTTGTCTAAGTCCCTTTCCCCAAATAAACAAGTGTAAGAAATTTTTTTAAGTTGTTAGCTGCTGAAGAAACACTTGCATGAAGGATAGATTTGTTGAGACATATCTTTTGTTTATAAATTTTGTTATGCATTGCGTAATGCTTTAAATCAACAAACTTTTCAGTTCTAAGATCAGAGCACCTCATATTTTTCTAATTGTTTTGCCAAAAATTGCCATGTCTTGTCACAGAGTGTGTGGAATTCATCCACCTTATTTTAATGAAATTGACTACAAACCTTCAGTTTGGTGAAACAGTGTAAGGGTTTCAGGTGTGGCAAGAAGAGACTGAACAGATGTATAGATTCTTATTCCTTATGAGCTAAACATTAATGAGAACTGCACTAATTTTTTTACAGCAATGCACTAAAAACAACCCTGAGATTGCTGAGAACATTTATTTATATATATAAATATAAGTATATAAAATACCATTATTTAAATTGCCTTTGGGATTAATCCCCTCCCTCTCCATATACATGTTGATGGTAAGGGCTGTGCCATGGGTTTGGTTCTGTGTTCTGTATTTCGTACAAGTGCATTTGCTGCATCCTCTTCACAATAAATGGTAAAGTAACAAATGTGTAGAAAAGCACCTGAGTATCCCTGTACTACATCAGACTTTATTGTGGTGGCAGTGGTACCTCAAGCCTGTACAACACATCTAGCTTTAAAGTGGGCCCCAATATGACTTTCCATCTGTCTTCCCTTCACTAGCCATGGCTACTTTGCTTCTTTACGCCCAGAGCTGGCTGTGTTGTTTCATTGGCTCTTCTCTGGCAAACACGGTGGTTTCAGTTTTGTAGTGGGAGGTGCAGGTCCATGATTATTTCACGGATGCTTGAAGGTTTTTTTATTCTATCCAATTGAAAAAGAAGAAACAGCAACAACTCCCCAAACAAAATGAAAAAAGAACCCAACAAAACTTGACTTCTGCTTTTAATGATCTTTTATAGAAGGCACAGCCCTAAACTTATATCACTTTTACCACCTTGCCTTTTCTTTCCCTTTAGTCTTCATTCTTTTCTATGACTTGAATTTTATTTTCTGTGATTATATATTCTATGTAAGTGTAATTTGAGTATTTATAACTGTGAAGTTGAATTATTCATGTGTTACATATCCTAGGTTTTATTGTATTTTTTTAAAAGTGTGTATTCAGGGAAACAAGTAACTCAGAACTATCATGGGAGTGTGAGAGGGAAACTGATTTGTTCTTGACTTGCAGTTCCTATGACTCACTTTTCTTAATCAGTAAGAAAGAAACGTACCTGTTGTGATTGTTTCCTGTTTCTGACCTGTAATTATATAGGACTCTGTGGGGAATTTGCATACAGTTCTAGCTTTTGGGAGCAGCCATCTTTTTCCCAGTCACCTCCACTTCTTTATATGTGTCGTAACTAGGAGAGACTTCTGATATACCACAGAGGTTATTATAATTAATTCTCTGACATCAGAGAAACATTGTCTATTATGTACCTAATGTAAGAGTGAAATTACATGGGATAAGAAAAAAGGAAGAAACAGCTACCTAAGAAACACTGGTATTCCAGCTCAAGTCACTGTATGCCATCTAGCCATCAAAGGGTAAGTCTGTGTACCTGATAGCTACTCAATTCCAGTTACTGGGACCTTGCATCATAGACTATGCAAACTCGTCCTTGAAATGCTGTGCATCTTAAAGCTGCATATTGCTATTCACTTTGTTCATATATGGTCCCATTTAATCATGGTTTAAATGCACAGATCTGCTACCCTTGAAACTATGTGCAACAGCAAATTTATTTATCATAGGTATTACATTATAGAGTAGTTGAATTAATCTCCTGCATATGTGAAGATGTAGTACAGTAGATGAAACTTCTGTAGCAGTCTGGTAACCCTACTATCAGGAATGAAAAAAATGTGTTAAGATTTGAATTGAAGGCCTTTTACTGAAGGTTTTATTCTGTCCTTCACTTCAGGTAAATATTTCTAATTAATTAATACTTTTAATTAATTAACCTTCCAGGTTTTCTGTATCATTAGACATTGCTTCATTTAAAAGGGAGACGTTTGTTTGAAAATAAGCCCCTATTTGACATTAGTTGCACAGTTGTTTCTTTTTCCTTTGGACTGAAGCCTTGAGGGAAACAAATGACTGAAGACCAAAATATATAGGTTAGGTATTTTTGCTTGTTTTTTTCCTAAAGCTGTCTGAAACAACTTTCAGTATGTTAACCCTGACTGAACAATCCCTCACTCCCTTCGGGGCAAGGTAAGGACAATGTCCATTGCTGGGAAAATAGGATAGGAAAAATGTGATAGGAATTGATTTGTTTATGTGGAAATTTTAGTGCATATGTATATCTGCTTGGAATTAGACTGGCAAACAGCAGATAGGGAAAGAGATACTTTTAAGGGCAAAAAGAATTGATGAATATTTCTATTTTTTATAAAACATTTGGTGTGCTGCCTTCAGAAGATGGATTTTAATGTGGACAGCTTAACACTTCCTTTCAGGTACTCAGCTAACATCTGTGGTGAAGTTGTTCACATAGTGCTCATACCTATTCCAGATCTGCTCAACAGAAACCACCTAGTTAAAATTTCACTCTTCCATAAGGCTTTGGAAAATTAACTCTCTAAAACTTCTCCTGAACTTGTTAAGATTCATATGATTGTGTGTTGGTTTGTACAGAGTTTGTCTTTGGTTTCCAGTGTGCAAGTGACAAAAATGTTTGTTTTCTTCTAACTCAGAATCGCACAGAATTAACTAGGTTGAAAAAGACCCTTTGAGATTACAGAGTTCAGCCTATGACTGAACACCACTTTGTCAACTACTAGACCATGGTACGAAGTGCTGCATCCAGTCTTTTCTTAAATGCTTCCAGGGATGGTGACTCCACCACCTCCCTGGGCAGCCCATTCCTATGCCCAGTCACTTTCTGTGAAGAATTTCTTCCTAATGTCCAGCCTAATGTGCAGCTTAAGACTGGGTCCTCTTGTCCTGGCGCTGGTTACCTGGGAGAAGAGACCAATCCCCACCTGGCTACATCCTCCTTTCAGGGAGGTGTGGAGAGTGATAAGGTTTCCCCTGAACCTTCTCTTTTCCTGACTGAACAACCCCAGCTCCCTCAGCCTCCTCATAGGATTTGTGTTCCAGACCCTTCACCAGAGAGTTTTTGCCCTTGTCTGGATGCATTTGAGCATCTCAGTGTCCTTCCTAAATTGGGGGTTCCAAAACAGGACATAGCGCTCAAGGTGTGGCCTCACCAGTGCTGTGAGTACTGGGGGACAATCACTGCCCTGGTCCTGCTGGCCACACAGGCCAGGATGCCATTGGCCTTCTTGGCCATGTGGGCACACTTCCCTACAGGACAGACCTGTCCATGGAAACCTCTGCTCTAGATGGAAATTATTTCATCTTTTATTCTCTTGGCCTTTGTCTTGATATGTAGTATTTTTCTGCTGTTGTAAGGATGGAAAAGATGGGTACTTTCAAATTAGTTCTGTCAGTCCAAATTGAACCTTACCATAGAGCAGAATTTTTTTGATCTTTCTAGACTTCCATGAAAACCTTTACAGATGTTTGCTTTTACTCTGTCCCCTTGCACTGTGATATTCTCTTGCCATAAGAACATTCCAGTTACGTCCTACTGTTGTAGCTTCCAGGTAAATCCCAATATATTTTCTTTCTCTGATTTCTTTGGAGATGGTATCTATGTGTACTTATGTAAGGACTTCTCCCTAAAACTCTCAGTTGCAGAAAAGGGCTTGAAAACCTCGTTAATCAGATAACGTTCATTAGTAAAAATGGCTACTACATGACGTTTTAAAACCTTTTCCCATTTCACTTCTCTGTGAAATCTTTTTAAATGTTCTGATTAAAAAAAAAAACAAAACAAAAAACCTTAGAACTGTGTACGTGACACCACTGACACCTGGACTTCTGTGCTACTTGCAGTGGATGATACTAGTGCTGGATTCTGGGGCTCTCTCTCATGGTCCAGCATATGTGAAATGATTTCGGAGTTTGGGGAAGATGATGGTGATGATTATTTCTTGAGGTAATTCCATGTAGGCTGAATGGTCATACACCCACTTTGCCTGGGACATCTGGCATGTTTGAGTGGTGATGTCAGTTTTCCACTCAAGAGTGCTGTTATCACCAGTCATTCCTTGTCCCATGGTCACAATACCTTTGGGAACTGAAGAACTCTTTGAGAAGCCTGGATGACTGGTGAGGTGACAGATGAAGACTTGTGGCACAGGTTCATGCCTTTGGCAAGAGGCCATAAAGCTTTGGATTTGAGCAAGTGGGGGAAGAGTTGCCTTATGATTGATTCAGCTTTCTCTGATAATGCACACACCACCATGCAACCTAGGAGTGTAGATAACAAAGACACTACTTGAAAGATCTTTCTCAATTACAGAACTCTCCAGTCACAAAATGGAGCTGGATAAATTACATTTCTTACCATTAACAATAATTCAACTTACATTGGATTTGGGGTTGTACCACCACAGGTTTTATGTACTTAATTTTATTAAGGAATTTTATACCTATTATATAGGCATCTATTCTTTTCTTGTCTGGCTTGCTATTTGATATTCTAATGCAGTACATTCAATGGCACTGGACTCTTTCTGAAATTATACTGGTAATTCCTGGTGCCTTAGTAAAACAGTGGGTACATAACACCTTGGTGGAAGGTAAAGCATGTGACTTGTTTCACCCCAGCATGATATGCATATTTCTAAAAAGGTGATTAAGATGGCTGCCCCAAAAGATTTTGGGAGTATACCTACATCGCTTGGTCATGAACATTTGAATATGAGCAATTTTTATGACTTCTGGTATGTACAGTTTGAATAGATAAGCCCAGTACACATAGGCCACAACTTTGAAAGATGGCAATCAAATAGCTGGATATGTAACTTCTTACACAGATGCCCCTGAAAGCTTGACAATAGCTGCTGGTTAGGAAATGGAGAGGGGAGTAGAGCATAAATGAGAGGATGGCTTTGGTCTGTAATGGACAATGAAAATATATATTGCCTCTACCAGCAAACGGTTACATTGCCAGGGATAGAGATCTATGTACCTGCGTGTCTGTGAGTGTGTATGTGTCTGCGTGTGTTATTGGAAACAGCCTGTAAATATTGTAGCTGTTTAAAATGGAAAAGGCAGAGAGTTTTTTTGCAACATGTTGCAGCAAAAGGACAGTATTGACAGTGGAGATACACTGAGAAATAAAAAACCTTTTTTCACTTGTTGTCATTTATTGCACGATTACATTCTCTTAAGATGTCATTCTCACAAATTCCCTAAAAGGACTGTTTTAAGTTTACTCAAATCATCCTTTAATGGAGGATGCTCTTGTTTAAAAATCCTTTTGTAGCTATGCAAAGAATAACCTCAGCTATTCCTATTGTCCTGCCAGCATCATCCCTATTTTCGTGCTTTTGCATAAATAAGTGCACATGTCCTCTCTTCTACAGTTAAAATGTTTTGTCTTTGTTGAAGTATTTTCTCTATCAGTGATCTCCCTTCTCTTGAATGTGTTTCAAAGCCCAGAACACTTTTATACTCTTTGTGCTCAGTAATTTTTCATTTGTCATATGTTACTGGGAAGAACCTTACCTAGTGTGGTTTAATCAGTCATTTCTAGTTTTCTGCCATCCTTGATCTGATAGCCATGTGCAGCATTGGGTGGAGGCCTCATGATGACTGTGCTTACATGAAAGACTTTTTGATACAGTGATACTAGTTTTAAAATACTCAGCTGCTCTCTGTCCTCACAAATATTTCACACTCATACAAAGGCTACATTATCTTTCCCTCTAGAGCTTGAAAAAGTCACTTAGAACATAAACAATGATCAGTGGACAGCTCTGTGTCTTCAAACATTGGGTGTTCCCTCTGTATAAAACCCAAACAAAGCATCTGCCACATTTCTTCTGCTTGCCTGTGACACTTGACCCATAGCTGCTTCCAGCCTCAATTTAAGAATGAGGGAGGAGAACACAAATAGAGGACATGTCCCTAAGGAAAAACAACAACTTTTATTTTTTAATGTTAGCAAGTGCATCTCAGTGAAAAGATTAAAAGTTCTGTAACTGTTGTGTTTTTAAGAAGCAGCTGGGCTTTCAGCTGCCAATATAAAAAAAGAAACAGCACTTCCAGACTGATTTAAGGATGGCAAAATCTGCTGTAGTCCACCGTTTCTTGCTGTTGGTGTCAGCCTAAGGCCTGCAACTGGTAAAAATTGGGGAACCGGAGCTCTGCTTAGTGATTGGAGGTTATTTCTTAGAGCAGTTTGGCCTGAGAGAAGTCCAGTTCACTTACTCCAAGACAACGTATCCTTGCGAGCCTGTCTGGGACCTGGGAGCAGTGTCTTTACTCCTGCAACACACACCTGGTCTGAGTGAGTGGAATGCCATTAGATGGCTTCCTTGTATTGCCGAATCCTCTATCCTATTTTTAACCGGACTTGCTATGCCCCATAATTCTTGCCTAGAAAGGTGATACTTGTATACTGGCACTTTGGAGATCTCTTTGGTTCAACTTTATGTGGATTTTCCTCTCCGCGTCAGACAGTGGTTTGGGTTTCTGACCGTGGCTGGCCGAGCTCTGCGCGTCCCCGAGCCCTGCGGCGGGAACCGCCAGGGGGCGCCGCAGCCCGGCGGGGCTCGGTGTGAGGGAGCGGGGCGGCGGGCGGCGGGCGCGGGGCCGGTGCGGGCAGCAGGGCCCCGGGAGCCGCTCCTGCCTTTCCGCCGCCCTGCTCCGGCCTTGCCTTGCGGCCGTGCTGCCGGTGATGCCGCCCTAATCCCCGCTCTCACCGCAGCATCCAGCTGGTCCCGCTGAACCGAGCGCTGAGGCCGCTCTGCTGGGCCCCCCGGGAACCTGCGCGGCCCCGTGTCCTTCCTCCTGCGCAGGAGGGAACGATGCATGAATGAATCTGTTTAGTTGTTTTGTTTTTTTTCTCCTATTTCATAATGTCTCTTAAGATATTACAAAGAAAGGAGGACACGCACCCACCTAATTATTTTCTTTCACGTCAGTGATCCCATGGCCAGGGGAGTAAGAAGAAGAGGGGAGTAAATAGCAAGAAAAAGGAAGACAAAGATATTGGGGGGAAGATACAGGAGGAAAGAGAAAGACCACTTTTGTCTTTCCAGAGGCTGAAGGAGATGGAGTAGGCAGCCTCAATGTAATTTTTAAACCTCTTTCTAGTAATCCCCCTATGTCAAAGTGAAGCAGAGGTGAATTCCTGAAAAGTGCAAATTAATTTTGAATATAACTCTGATTTAGCAGACATCAGTCTTAGAAACTACTAAAAAAGTCATAACGGTCACCTTTCTTTTACTCAGTGTATTGTATATATTATGGTGCATTGTCACACTCAGGTAAAATTGCAAATTAAACTTTGGTTAAAGGGCACAGTGTTCTTGCACCTTTGTGATGCTGGGAATGAAATGTCTGCTGTTTCCACATATGGTTCTTAGAAATGCATGTCTAACTCGTGCAACCCAAATAATAATCTATATTGCAACTGCAGTAGAAATGTCAGCTGATGAGGATCTGAGTAGCCTCTCCTTGTGTGGACCCCACATCCATTCTGCTGTGGCAAGCATTTCAGGATGGCTCAGAGCAATGTACCCTGACCTTGCACAGAGTTCAGTATTTTTTTTTTACTTCAGCTGTGGAAAGAAATGCTTGGGACCCGGGCACTTGTGAAGCTGTACTGTGAGCTTACCTGCACCGTCTGATGCAGGTGCCAGAAAAGGCAGGCAGATGTTGCCAGGAAGTCAATGCTGTCTTTGTAGAAAACAATTTTTAGTTTGCTAGTGGAGCACATTTTACATATCCCAGCAGTGGCTGACAGGGACAGAGAGACCTTAGCAATGTTCCCCAGCAACAGGAACTGTTCCAGCCCTCCTCCTTTTTTCACCGTGAGACTATCAGAGGTTTGGAACAAACCAGCTCCCCCTCTTCTGCACTGTCATTGCTGTGGTACATTAACTTTTTCTTTTTTGTATCATTTGTGTTTACCAGCACCCAGAGCACTCAGCCCTCTGTTCTCCCTGGCTTCCTCTGAGGGAGAAAGCCAATGCCCTTTGCATCATCTGTCCTTGCTGGCACATTTGCAAGTTCTGCCCCTCACTCAGAGGTGTGGGAAGCAAAACCGGTAGCAGCTCGTCCCTCTGCAGACAACAAGACAGAGCTGTCTCTGGAGGAAGCTGTGCTCAGATATATTCAGGGCAATTATATACCACAGCTTCACACTTCTTGTCATTCTTGTTGTTCGCTGCTAATGGAGAGTTTTGGTCCATCAGTACTGTGTACATCTACAGCGAGATTGGGCTTGTTTCTTCCCCTAGAGCTGCAAAGGCCTCCCTCCCAGGCTCTCTTTCCCAGCCATGGTAGAGCCTGCAGCTTCTATTTCTTACCTTTTCAGGATCTTTTCTATGAATAACAAGATAACCTCTTTGCTGCACCCTGGTTTTAGTGCTCTTCACTTACCTTAGCCTAGGGCTTGTAAACCTCTGAGTGGTAGCTTCTTGCAGCACTCTTGTCTTTTGTCACTGGATCTATGAAAATGATCCCTCAAAATTATTCTTGACTGTAGCCTGGGTGATTTGCTTTCCTGATACCTTACATGAGTTTAAAAAAAAAAAAAAAAAAAAAAAAGCTGTA